AGAAGAAGAAGAAGAAGAAGAAGAAGAAGAAGAAGAAGAAGAAGAAGAAGTTGAAAGGGACCTTGGAGGTCATCTAGTCCGACCCCCTGCGCAGTCAGGAAACCCTATACCATTTCAGACAAATGGCTGTCCAATCTCTTCTTAAAAACTTCCAGTGTTAGAGCATTCCCCCTTCTGGAGGTAGGTTGTTCCACTGGTTAACTGTTCTAATTGTCAAGAGGTTTTTCCTTAGTTATAAAGTAATAAAGGTGGGATAAAAATCTAATAAAGAAATAAACTCAGCTACCTGGTTAAATGATGTTGGCCACATGATAGTACTCTGATTGATAGAGATTTTGACTTCTGAACAGGACTCTCTTTCTATATTCCTAATTTTCACCCCAATAGTAGACTTGTTAGAAAACAATGCCCAGTTGATGATATCCAAGTCAGAAACAGGATTTCCATCCTCATCCAAATAAACATTATCCACGGAAAGATTGTAAAGCTGGAAGTTTCTTAGAAAAGGATGAAGCTAATATCTATATCTATATCTATATCTGTTCAATGATGCAATCTTCGATCTCCGGGAAGAGTATACTCCAGTTATTTATTGTTAAAACAACATTTAAAACAATAAAACAGTTATATACAAGATTAAAACAACTTAGCTTTCGCTGGTCCTCTGCCAGCGTCCTCAGAGTGGGGCTTAGGGGGTGGGAAGTTCTTTTTATCCCCTTGCTGATCCAATTGCCTACTCATTGCCCTCGTGACAGGGCCACTCTTCCTGATTGCCTGTGATTGCCTTAACTGTTCCGCCCTCTCTTTTTTGCACTCTAACATTGTATTTTTCTGCTCCATCATCCTTGTGCTGTCTCCCCCTCCCTGCGCTGTTATCATTAACACACTCCTCAATCCCTCCTCTCTACCCAATGCAAGGTGCCTCCTCCGATTCGGCAATACATGAGTCCTGTTGGGCTGCTGGTCCGCCTGCCGTTTTTGCATTCCATTGCCAGTTCCTATCTCATCTCCCTCCTCCAACTCCCTAGCCTGCCGATTCATACACCCTTTGTTGTCCATTCCTGTCATCCTTCCCCCCCTTCCTTCAACCCTCCCACCTGTTGATTAACATATTGCTCCTGCCTTTCATCAACCATTCCTATTGATGTTCTCTTCCTCAATGTCTTTTCCTTCCTGATCCGCTGCTCTACCTGCTGTTCCTGTTTACCCTCCTCCCCCACTGTCCATCTTCCCCTCTCCAATGTCCTCCCCATAATCTGCTGACTTGCCTGTTGTTCATCCATTTCTGTCCATCCTCTCTTTTCTAACATTCCTCCTCCTCTGACCTGCTGTCCTACATGCTGTTCCCATATGCCAACATCCATTCTTATTAAACCCTCCTTCTCAAGCTTTCCTCCCCCCCAATCTGCTGTCCTGCCTGCTATTCTTATCTGCCCTTCTCCTTGCCTGTCAGTCCCACCCTCTCCTGTTTCCCCCCCCCTCTCCAATCCACTGCTCTGTTTGCTGTTCCTTCCAGCATTCTTCCTCCCCTTACCTGCTGTCCTACGTACTGTTCCCATCTACCAACCTGCGTTCCTGTTGGACTCTCCTTCCCAAACTTTCCCCCCCAAAACTGCTGTCCTGCCTATTATTCCTGCCTGCCCTTCTCCATTCCTATCAACCACACCCTCTCCTGTTTCCTCCCCCCCCCCCTCTAATCTGCAGCTCTACCTGCTGTTCCTGGCTATTCTCCTCCATTCTTACTCCCTTCTCAAATATCCCTTTATGACAGCAGTTTTGGGGGGGGGGAGTTTGGGAAGGAGAGCCCTTCAAGCACAGCCAACAAATTTTTTTGTCTTCTGCAACTATAATCTGGGACATTCTCTTGTCCCATGGATAGTAAATTCAACATGGCATCATAAGTTATTCTTGCATTGAAAAGGATCTCATAGATGTTGTAACCCAGCGTGATGTTTGGTAACAGATTCTGGTTGATGTCATGAATGGCAAAGAAGAAGGGCAGGACATGAACAAAACTCACAAACTTACTGCAAGATAAGACATATTAATAGGTCTTCACTGTCAGCATGAATTTTTAAATTCAGGTCATAGGTCATAAAAGCATGTCATATTTTGTTTACCTTTTAAGAGAATCTATAAGTCATCAGTTGTATTTCTATCTTTTGCATGTCCTTTGGCTGTTCAGGATGGAAGAAAAGGAAGAACCTTCTTCTAGAATAATGTCCTGGCACTCTGGGCACATTGAAAGTCTAATGGTGTCCTCCTTCATTTCTCCTTTAATAGAGGGATTCAAATAACTCATCTGTCCCAAGACTCACCCAACTGGCTGACTGTGCTGATCTCTCTGATATACTCTTTCTAGTTGTTCTCCTATGATAACATATAAAGTTGCAATGTTTACCAGTAGCTTGTAAATTATGTAAGGAACTCTTTAAGAATTAACTAGCAGTGACACATTTGCACTGCTGCGACATTACCTATTATGCTTAGTAACAATCGTTTGGCATCAAATTTTTCACTATTATGTTTTTATATATTTTTGGCATAAAATATTTCTTCACTTTTCAACAGTGGTTGGGTAATAATCTCATATATCAAAATGTATAATCTCTATATATCTATAGAGATTCTCTGTCATCCAGGTCATGGTAGTCCCATGAACGGATTTCCAGAAAACATTGAAGACTACAGGAACTGTTGGCGCTTCAGTTTGGGATGCAGACAACACAAATTCATCCTCAACAGCCTATGCCTGTCTTCAACAGTGAAGGGACACAGGACAGAAAATGTCCTGCCTCCAAAAAGGCTCAATATACATATGCACTACTCAGGTGACCCTGAGAACACAGATAAACCTCCAAATGGCCTCAACAACTAAAATAATGCAAATGACCAGCTGTCTGCAAGAAATATAAATCCTTCCATTCATCACCATCCAGTCAGAGGTGAAGAAGTTTCTTGGATGAGAAGCCAAATGTCTTCAAAGAAAAATGAGAAAGTCTAATTGCCTCCTGAAAAAGCACCTTTGGGACTATAATCTGTATACTTTTAAATTTCAGATTATCTATTAGTGACAGTGATTATTTTATTTGTAATGATTCTGGGTTCTGTGAGAAAAATATTAATTTGAGTAGTTTTTTATCCACTGTAAAGGATTTTTCTTAATATGGGAGATAATAAATTTTAATATTAGTGAATACTAATCAGTGACTGAAATAAAATATATAGAATAATATTCCAAAAAGTAGGATATCAAAGCACTGAACTGATTCTGTCAAATTGATAACACATTTCTACATCAAGTATATTAAAATGACTGTTGACCAGAAATATGATGCTGGTCTGTAACCGTTATAAAAATTGAAACATGCTTTCTTTGCATCAGTGGAAATGGCTTCTGTATAGGCTGAATTCCCTTCCAAATCTGGGAGAGATACCATAGTGCTAAGATGTAATTCAGTCATCCTTTGATCTGCCCAACTTCATTTTTAAATAAATTAATAATAAATTCAATAAACATTTACTTTAAATAGAAATTAACAAAATCCTGATATTCCTGCCATGGGAAAGAAAATGCTATCTTCTTCTTTTGGGACCCAGATTGGCCCATGAGCTATTTTACAAAATAAATCTACAAGTCAATGGTTGATGACTGTGTAAGAGCTGGAAGTTTGGAGATGAAATATGATAAAAGATGAGAGATGAAAGAGATTGCTATGTATCATAAATATCATTGTAGGGAATGAAAGGATGTAGCAAGAATAAGGTGATTAACTTTTTTAAATGAAAAGGAGGACACAAATAAATTGAAGAAAAAATATCGTAAATAAAAGAAACATTTTATTCATTGCAACAATAATACAGAATACACTATAATATGATAAATGCATAATAAAAAAACATTTGTAACAATAACATTTTATATTGTAATTATGCTTACATGCCGCACCCTTGCCCGCAGCCGCCCTGCCAACACTGCTGCCCTGCCATGTATAGTGGGCCCCGTGACTCCCAAAACACCAACTGTGCCGGCTCCGGCCCTGGGGGGCAGCCAGGCATCAACATACCCTGCCTGCAGCCACCCTGCCAGCACCACCACCCACCCTGCGCAGCCATGTGTAGAGCAGGCCCCGCGGCTCTCACAGCGCAGGGGGCAGCCGGCCACTGCCACCCCTCACACCCCTGCCCGCAGCAGCCCCACCACCCCTGCCTCTTGCACCCACAGCCATTATTGCCCTAGCAGGGCCGAAGATCAAGAAAAAGTTACCGTGGCGTCACCACTCCAGGTATCGTCCAGGTATCTTCGGGACTAACTAGGAGATAGTGTAGTTGGGTGCAAAGTTCCTGCCAATTCGCCTTTGCTGCAGACAATTTATATGTGCAAAGTTTGCCAGCAGGGTGTTTTGGCACGCTCAGCAGCAATTCCTATTGGCTTTCAAAAGCCAACAGGGGGAGTAGCACAGCTCATGCAAAAGTTGAAAAAAAACATCAAAAAAGGTGCTGGAATGCCGTTCTGAGTGTTCTATGAGAAAAAAAAGCCCTGCAGATTAGTCTTCAAATATTGAAAAGGAAGACATGTAGGAGGACACTTTTTGAGAGAGGACAAAACTCACAAAAGGAGGACTGTCCTCCCTAAAGGAGGCCGGTTGGTCACCTTAAGCAAGAAGGACCTCCTTTGTTTGCCTTCAGCTAAAAGGGTATTTGATGTCTCTGCCTGGCATTACCCAGAGTTGTGTTGTAAAGAATGTCCATTTACTCAACTAATTTTTGTGAGATTGCTGACCAAGACTCTCAGGGCCTAAGGCCAACTTTCACAGAACTGTTAAAACAAATTTTCAAAGGGTTAAGACAATGTATGATAAGCATTAGGTAGAACAAATATTTTCTTTAAAGCACATGGGGGGGGGGAAGGTGACGCTGGCCTTGTATTAGGAAGTTGGGAGTTATGCTCAAAAGAAGATTATCAATTAAGCAGAATTCAGTGCACATCAGTAAATTACCTTACAAAACTATTGGTGGGAGGCATGATGAAACTATATGGCTGAACTACAGTACTAGATGTAGATATCATTCCACTAATCAGAAAGTCTCCTGGATTGTAATAATTTAACATGTATTTTTCCTCTTCTAACACATTCAATTGACATTTGACCATCAACGCTGCACAGAGAAAACAGGACACCAAGAGAAGCAACATTTTCCATACCATGAGGGAGATCCGCTATAGCTCTGAGAGAGAAGAAACTCTCAAAGATGAGATATATCCTGGCAGCAAATATGTAAGGAGCATAATATAAAATATGCTAGTATAGCTCCTGCCTGCATCAATCCCATCTGATGGTCTCTGCAAGACTTGAGTTATTTTCAGGGGTTGTATATGAAAAGTCACCAAATGTTTTTCAAATTCTATTAATGGGGAGTTATTAACTATTCTCACTTATATTTCAGAGGGGACCTGGAGACAAGGGAATTCTGGAGGTTTTGCTGGAAATAGATTAAATCACCATCATTTTGTTAATGATAAAGGGAGAATGAGTGGATTCTGCATGAGAAACCTTTATGACCCATGGGTATAATTCCAATTTAAGTGTTTATATGTTCCCTCAAGGGACCAGTTCTGGAAAGTGTGACTAACTCTTACTCACCAAAGTAATTCTTGAAATACTAAATGTTGTAATATGGGGTTGGCTCTCAGTTTATATTCTGGTAGCAAGCCACTAGAATATAAACTGAGAGCAAACACCACTCCTTAGTGTCACTGAAGATGTTGCCTAGTTTGGGTAATGAAACATCTGCAAGAAAACAGCCAGGCTCAGAGAGCACCAAGGACCCTTCGTTCAATTCTTTATTACTGAGTTTTTGTGGGAGTGTGTGTGTAAAAATTAATTAGGCAGAGGGTCAGAGTTATTGGAATATACCAATTCCTGCCACACCACTGTCAGGGGTTTCTCTTCAAAATGTGTTGCAATATGTCAATGAAGACTCAATCATCCAGGCCAATGGATGTCTAAAGGTTGAATCATGGCAACTGGACCAATCTTTGTTCGACATATTGCAATGCGTTTTGGGGAGCAGCCCCTGAAGGGACTCCAAGGTCCCTCTCATAGTTACTGTTTTTGAGCCAAGTCTCACCTAATCTATACTTATATCTTTGATTTTTCTTGCCTAAATGTAAAACTTTGTGTAAGGACCCACCTCACTTTACATCTTAAGAAGACAGAACTCTTGGAATGTCTCTTCCAACAGGCATTTTTATTAAGAGAAAATGATTGCAGGCATGCTAGACAGGATCTGGGGAATTCTCTCCCATCCTTCACAGTTCTTCTGGGCAACAATCACTCATCCTCTCTTTTTCCCAGATCCCAGGCATTGCATTGTTTCACCCTTTTCCCTTATTGCCGGCAAAAGGGAGACTTCAGAGAGAGTAGATGAAAGGCGATGGCCATATTGTTATGGTCAGTCCTCTTGATGAGAATCAACATCCAGTCACTTTGTAGTTTAAGGAAGGAAGTGAGAGTCATAAACCCCCCTTGCTTATTCTCCTCCCCTTTTGTAGTATGACAGAATCCAGAGAGAGTAAGAAATGGGTTTTTATCAGAGTAGGTAGCTAGAAATGAAATATAATTGGAATCTGACACTTTGCTTTTCTCCACATTAAAACTCATTTTTTTGGATAGGGTCAGGATTTTCTAGCTTACCAAGCAGTAGATTGTGGTCTACTTTGTTGAATACCTTACTGAAAACTAAGTTTATATACATTGAAGCATGAAGGCATTGCTTTCTGGTGGCAAAATCAATTTTCTTGAATAGCCCCAGTAAGAGATCAGGTTATTTGACAAAATTGATGCTGCCACCAGTAGAGGTCAGGCTTCCTCCTTCTGTGTTGATGATGTAGAAGTTAAGAGTTGCTTCAGAGAGCCTATCATTGTACCATCAACTTCTATTTTTATTATTTGTATTCTTATATTTACTTGTTTTTATGGAACTTTGCATTGTGGGTGTTTTCTTGGTTTTTATATTTTGTGTAAAGTCAGAGTCAGAGTCTTTGGGTTGTACTGGGATAGAAATGTGAAAAATATACAAATTAATAGTAAACAAATTATCTTTAACTAACAAAAACATAATAAAACTTTGTATTTAGGCAGGAAAACACGTCAAATATAAACAGAAAATGGGAGACCTAAGGCTCAACAACAATATATATGAAAAGTAGCTAAGGATTTTAGCAGATATTCCAAGTAATATGATTCACTGGTATTAAATGACAGCAGCAAAGGAAAATGTAATTTGGGGTTACATCTACAGGAAGATACGCATAGTAAGAACTAATAGAGGTAGTCCTCAAATTGCCAACACAATGGAGCACAAAATTTATGTTGGTAAGTGAGACATTTGTTAAATGAGTTTTGCCCCATTTTATGACCCTTCTTACCACAGTTGTTAAGTAAATCAGTGCAGTTCTTAAATTAGTAACAAGGTTGGCAAGGCTGGAATCTGGCTTGCCCATTGACTTTGCTTGTCAGAAGGTCACAAAAAGTGATCACATGACCCCAGGAAACTGCAACTGTTATAAATATGAACTAGTTGTCAAGTATCCGAATTTTGATCACTGACCATGGGGATGCTACAAAGGTCATAAATGTGAAAAAACAGTCATAAATCACTTTTTTCAGTGCCTGTAAGGACCTACTTTAACTAAGCCACCTAACAAAAAGAACTCTTGAAACAGACATTGTCTCAAAAGGAACTTTTATTAGGGGCTAATGATAGCAGGGAAATCAAGGCAAGATTTGGGGAAAATCCCACGCAGGCAGTATAGTTAAAGCACCATCAATCCTCCTCCCATCAGAGTCCCAGTGTCCATTTGAATTCCAGCCAATCCACAGGTGGTACGGTGTTTTGGTAACTGGCTCTGTTGGCATGCATCTCAAGGTCTCTCTCCCTTTCGTGTCCTTCAAGCTCCAATTGCCAACGTCTCTCAGATAAGGGAGACTCATTCCTTCTCCTGGGAGAAGGGCATGGAGAAAGACAGTGCAAAGCATCCCCAGGCCATCCCCCCTCCCAACAGAATGGTAGGCCCCAAAGTAATGGGTAAATACTGGTTACAAATGCAAGGTATAGGTTTGGGGACTTGACAGTGCCGTTATTGGTCAATAAATGAACTGTTGTAATTTGAGGACTCCTTGCAATCCTCCCTATTCTATTCGGATCAGACTTTCACTTTGGTCACTGTGCTCAGTATTGGATACATCATTTTATGGAAAAAATCAGCAATCCAGTGTTGAGAGAACTGCCTCATTCCTTCTAGAGGGACCCCTCCCCTCTTCAACAATGCCCATCTGTCTTCTGCTGTCGCTTGGAGGAGGCTGAGCCCTGGAGTTGGAGAACCTCTCTCCACCTCCGAACAGAACAACCACCTTTTCCAAGTGGACTATTCTGAACTGGCTCTCTCCCATTTCAATCAGCTTCCCAACTTCTCGCTCCTCTAGAAACTGGCTAGGCGGGATGGGTGCTATAGTCCTTCCAGCCCCCCCCCCTACCCTCTTGGCAAAGCAGGGAAGCCAAGAGCTTTTCCTCCTGCCCTTTCTCAGATCACAGATTTTTCCAGACCTTCCTTGAGGACTTTCCCCTACTAAGACCCTCATCCAGAAGGCTGCAGCCTTCCCTCTTGTCTCCATAATAACTGAGGCATCCAGAAGAAGCCCATTTACTCCCCACCCGGACCATCCATCCACCCGCCCCCTGCACATTTTTCCTCCTCCTCCTCCTCCTCCTCCTCCTCCTCCTCCTCCTCCTCCTCCTCCTCCTCCTCCTCCTCCTCCTTCTCCTCCTCCTCCTCCTCCTCCTCCTCCTCACTACTAACTGTAATCTTCCAAGCTCCCTTGGACCACCTAGCTTGGGGATTTTTTTCACCTTTTTTTTCAGTAAGAAGCTCCCCATTATCCTTCCCCTGCACCAGCTGCTGTCCCTGGGCCTCCCAAGACAGGCTGGCAGTTGTAATCCCTATCCCCTCCCCCCCTCACACGTTAGAGGGGAGGGGAGCAGTAATTTGTTCTCTCTGTCTGAAAGACTGACTCACTTACCCCCTTCCAGCACTCTGCTGCAACCTGCTCAATGGGTGACTGATCAGGTAGACCCTGTGGTCCAGAAAATTTTGGGTTTTCACACAGAAACTTGAATTCTAGGGGTGGAAAGCACATGCATGCTCATGGCCTTGAAAAGCATCATTTGCTAATGCTTAAAGGAATCATTGCATTTTTAAAATCCATGAACCGTTTGTAAGAACCCAGTCAGCCCATCTAACTGATGACTGTGACATATGGAAGCTGAGAGGAGTTAATGGCAAAGAACGTGAATTAATAAATGAAGCAGAAGAAAAAGAAACATGACTCATAGCACCAAGTGAGCAAATTTATTTAAGGATTGAATGTTTGCAAAGTTTAAATTGTTTGCTGAAATATTATATATTTCTAAATATTGAAACATTTTTAAATAAATTGTGCGCATACTGAGGTAAGTAAAACTAAACCAAATACATTTTTTAAGAGCCGAGGTGGCGCAGCAGTTAGAGTGCAGTACTGCAGGCCACTTTAGCTGACTGTGTTCAGCAGGTCAGTGGTTCAAATCTCACTGGCTCAAGGTTGACTCAGCCTTCCATCCTTCTGGGATAGGTAAAATGAGGACCCAGATTGTTGGGGGCAATGTAAATATGCACTTAAAGCGGTATATAAGTCTCATAAATAAATTTATTGAAGACTGGAAGGAACAATAAAAAAGGAAATAAAATACTCAGTTACACACTGAAACAAGAGTTAGAGGACTCCAGTCAATGCTTATGTTTTCCAATTAAAAATGTATACACCAAGTATAAGCGTGCCCAGTATTTCAGGAACAGACCTTCCTTTTCCATACGACACTTAGGACAAAATTCTTTCCACACTCCAAGCACTTGTGAGATCTCTCAACTGTATGGATTCTCTTATGGCTCACCAGAGTCAAGGGATCAGCAAAACATTTCTTGCACTCCAAGCATTTATAAGGCTTCTCTACTGTGTGGTATCTCCAGTAGGATCACAAGTTGTGACGGGCAAACAAAATGTTTTCCACATTCCAAACAGTTGTAGGGTGTTTCCCCAGCATAGATTCCTCGGTGTCTGGCAAGGTGCACTTTGCAGCCAAACTGCTTATCGGACACCAAACATTTGAAGGGTTTCTCTCCCATGTGCACAATCTGGTGGCTTGTGAAGTGTGAATGGCAACCAAAGCATTTGCCACATTCCAGACTTTTATATGGTTTCTCTTCTGTGTGGATTCTCAGATACCTGGTTAGGTTTGGTTTCTGCGTAAAACGATTCTCGCAGATAGGGCACAAGTGTTTTTTTTCCAAGGGTTGTCTTCAGGAACCGGGAAAGGATAAACAAACAACAGAAATCATTTGAGAATAGAAGCTGAATTGAACATTTAACATTCTAAAATACTGAAATAACTTTCTCAATTAACTTTTTCTTTTTTACTGTACACAGGAGGATTTATCATATTGATCACACCCTCTCTGTTTTTGGAAGAGGGAAAGACTTTATAGGTCTCTGCCATGATCTTTTAACTGATACTCAGTAATCAAACTGATAATTAATTGTTGCTTTCCTGCTGATTTTAAACATCTTTTAATTTGTGGTGCACGAAACAATTGTTTTGTAATTCCTATAATTGGTATTGTAAGCTAGCCAGAGTCACGTGGCAGAGAGATGGGTAGCATACAAATTGAATGAATGAATGAATGAATGAATGAGTGAAATCTCTTTCTAATATACTACTAAAAGTCTCATGTTTGTAACCTTTAACTAGTCAAAAAAGGGCATCATAGGGCAACACTTTTTCAATCAAGGTAATTTAGATGGGCTATCTTACACAAAATGCAGCCAAAATCCAGGACCCATGACTCCCACGGAATAAAAATCTGGGAAATTTTGTAAAACATTTTATGACATAAAAATGATCATAAAGCATTTTATTACATAATACAAAAGTCCTAAAACATTTCCTGTGGCCAGCTGCTGATGTTTGACTGTGCTACACAGTTCAGTGTGGGCTATTTTCAAATTTCAAGTGATATTTACATATAGTTTTTTTCCTTTCCTTTTTTTGGCTTTAAATTAGATTTGTTTTAATTTTGTAAAAAGAAAATTAAATAAAAATTAATTAATTAAAAAAATCTGCAACTGCAGTGCCAGTAAATGTGGTTGTTACCACAGGATAACTTTCATCCAGAGACTGGAAGTTGATTTTGCTAAGCTCAGTTAAAAACTGGGTTGGATTGTTCATGATTGTTGTAGAAATTCCTTGTCCCAAGGTCATCAATTTAACCCATGAATGTATTATTAATTTATTTTTATATATTTCCAGCCCTTCTAAGCTACCTACTTGTCAAACTGTAGGAGGTTATTCTATGAAATAATATGGTTATTTGGATGCAAAATATTACATGAAGAGGTTTAGAAATCATTGTCAAGTTTTTATTAAGCAAATTTGAGACTTTTAACATCTTGAGTGAACCCAGGCGAGGTGTCTTGACACCATAGATCTGTGTTTCTCAATCTTAGTAACTTTAAAAGGTCTGGATTTCAACTCCTAGAATTCCCCAATCAGCTACACTTCTTAAAGTTGCCCGGTTCAGATACACTGTCACAGATGAAAATTATTTTTGCATCTGAGACAACCAGCTCTCCGTAAGCAGCACCAAACCTCATTCGTAATACATTAATTATATTTTAATAGATAAATAAGTTTATATTAATACATTAAGTCACAAAGTCCCCAGATTATATTTAGTTAAAGGTTGTGGCAGATAGGAATAAACAAATCAAGTCTAAAATATATGAAAGACATCAACTTGGCAAAGCCAAATTGTTTTAATGATGTACCACTATCCGAGTAAACATTAGTAGATCATTTTGGAAGACAAGTCCATTTGGTATCAGCAAAAAAAAAAAAAAGGCCAAATAATAAGAGATTTGTAAGATACAATCCTTGCCTGAGCTGCCATCGAAAACTTTTTTTTCCATCAAAGGCCTAAGAGTCTGGCACACAGGGGTCCCCCCCCCCTTGCTCGAGGAGAGAGACAAGACCAGACTTTGAAACAGAAAACCCTTCATAGAAAAAAGAGAAGACAGCCTCATTAGGAGGCATTCTGCTTTTTTTTGGGGGGGGGGAATATTGATGAATCAAACAAGAGTACCAGACCTGCTCTTTCCGTTTCTGACAATGCCTATCTAAATGCTCTTGGAAGACCACAGATGCCTCCTACCATATTGCTTATTCAAATATGTAGCATTCTCTAGACATATTCCCTTACAACAAATAAGCTTTATTCAGTTCTATGACTCTTGGTTATTTTGTTTTTTAATGATTTTAGAACTCTTTTAAAGAATATGTATGTCGTAACTAGCTGCATGTAGACCTTGGCCTAATTTCAAAATTCAGCTATTTGAGCCCAATCCCGTCTACATTTCCCTTGCATTCTATTTTTTTACTATGATAGTTCTCTAAGAGTTACTTTTATAACTGAGATAACACACATTAAATAAATAATTCTCTTGTTAGTCAAAACCTAAGATCAACCCTGGATTTATTACTGTATGCAAGTAACATACATGTGTTTATGTATTCTGAATGCCTTTCTTTAAGTCCAAAAATTGCAATGTTTTTCTGGAACAATAGGATTTCTTCTGAGGAACTAGGTCTTTATATGCTAATGATAGTTAGATCCACCATCATTTAACCAGGTTTTAGCCACTTGGGGCCCACAAGTGCTCCCTATCAGCGTGAGACCCGAAGCCACTGAAGAGATGTTTTGGTAAACTGAAGTTTCTTCTCATAACAATTGCTAATTGCTGGAAGATTAATTGGACAATGTGATCTGAGCTGTCAGAGAGGGGAAGGAAAGTTTTACTCTTTTAATTATCTGTTTCCCGCCCTATTGACAGAAGTAGCTTTCATTCTATTTCTATGTCTAATAAAGTTTAGATTAGAGATCACAATGTCTCTATGTTTTGCTTCATTGGGCTTTTCAGCTGGAACTTGACACCTACTCATTATTTTAAAAACCCTGTTTTTTTTGATACACTATTAAAAGATTCTTTCATTCCAAAAAGGTTTGAAAACAATTTAATATTGGATTTACATGGTCACCCGTCTTGAATACATGACTCCAAACAACTACCAATATTAAAAACAATAAAGCTATAAAATCACATGCAAAATATTAAAACACATTTACCATCTAGGGAATGACTTCAACCCTTCAAATGATTGTGAGCAATTCCTAGGTTAGCATCTGATCATGTTCATATTGGAGTTGGAAGATCATAATCTCTGGGTTTTCTTTGCTGTGCACTATCCAGGGTCTTGCAATTGGGATAGTGCAGGTAGTCCTCACTTACCAACTATTGGTAACTGGGACTAGCAATTTGGTTGTCCAGTGACCTCCTCATAAAGGGAAATGTCATCTCATTGCTCCAACTTATGATGCTAGCTCATCAGTTCCTGTTGTAGTCATGAAGTGAATCAGCCGCAGTTGTTGAGTGTGATGTCATGTGACTGCAACTTGCAACTTCCTGCCAGCTTCTCCATTGAGTTGTTTATTGGAAGTTGACTGTGAAGGTCACAAATGGAGATCATGTGACCACTTGATACTGTGATTGTTGTAAATTATATGCTGGTTGTCAAGCACCTGAACTGCAATGGCCACAACTTTGAAGACCAGTCATAAATCTTCTTTTTCAGCACCATCAGTTGCTGAACAAGCAGTTGATATGCAAAGACTATCTGTACATAAAAATAGTGAAATAAATGAAATATCTGCGCCACCACAGCTAAACCAAAACCCACAAATAGGCTGCCCAGATCCTATTATGCAAGAATGGTAAGCTGAAAGACACTGGGGCAATTAAGATTGACTCTTTGATAGAATTACACTAGAACCAGCAGTACACACACCCATGCCCTTCAAGCCCACCTCAAGGACCAATCCCCTATAAAATAACCTTTCTGGACCCCATTTTTGTGGTTAGAGAACTCTTTTGCTTTGGGGAATAAATAACTCTCTTGTCCTCACAGTGTATCTGGGTTTGATTTGTTCTTGCACAACCCTACCTCAGGTTGGAGCCCCAAATTAATTACTTGGCACAAGGAAGGATGCATTACTCACATCAGATTGTGACAGACTTCAGATGACATTGTTGAAAAACTTGGAAAATCCCATTGGCTGGGTTTAGGGCTTGTCCTGTTTTAGGAGTGGCTTGGCAAGTCCAAAGAAACCTATTCCACTGTGTAAGATTATAGGAATTTCTCAAGCTGGTGCAGTCCAGAGACACAAAGACTTAGCTTTTGTTTTGTTCCATTGAGGTAGTTTTATTATACAAAATTAAAGTATAACTATTTACCTTTAATCATATTGCTAACTCTATGGTTGTGCCTATTTCCTACTTATTTTCTTTCTGCCTGCCTTAATTTACACTTGTCCTATTGCTAGAATTTATACCTACTTCTGCCTCATCCAATCTATCTGTTCTGCGAGAAACTATATGTTTGTATTTCTGTATTCTTACCTTGATATTTTCCTGTCTTGACTATTTGCTAAGCCTCTAAGTCTTTCACATTTCACCAGATATTTAACTCTTGTAGCAAAACAAGTTCCATTTGCATTTGAAAAGCCATCTTGCTCTTTTTCTACATACTTATAGGATGGACTTTTCTCTCCCTCCCTATCCTTTCTTTCTGCAGTTGTTTGGAGAAACTCTACATGTGGGTTGTCTTTTTTCCCCACTGTTGAATTGCTTTTGTGGCCTCTTTGCAGATCCTAGTGGCTCAGTCCTAGCAGGGGATTGCTATTGAATTGCTTTCCTTTGAATCAAAGGCATTTTCCCAGTCTGTGCAGACTTCACTTCCTCTTTCACCACCACAAATGTGCTGGGTTTTGTGGTTTTATCATGAGAGCTATTCTCCAGTTAAGAGAAAGGTAGGACCGATTTAAAATTCTTTGACAGATGTCACTGAAACTTTAGATTCAGGAAGGAAGGAAAAGCACCCACTCACGGGGGAGCAGTTCTACTGAAGAGGAACTGAAAACTAGTATTTTAGTTTAATGTTCAGGAATGATCTTTTTTGCATGACTTGCTCCCTGTGGATTGCTTAGATTAGAATATGGAAGATGCAGATGGTTACATGGTAGTACAACCTACAAGAAATGTCTACATGGATGCTAGTCCCAAGACACAAGGTAATGACTGAATTTTCTGTTGGTTTTAGCTGGCTATTTAATAATAATGTTGGTTATATTGATCTTAATAAAGATAGACCACTTGGGATGAAGAATTACAGTAGCCCTTTCAATTTATTTAGTATCCTTCTGGGTATGTTGTGATTACAGTACAACTCTGGAATGTGGGCAGGGTAGAGTATGAACAAAATTACAAAGATGCAAATTCACAACTACCTCACCCATGAAGCTCAGCTTATACTAATTATGCAAACAGCATAAATTACATAGGCAATGTATGTAAACTCCAGATTGGTGACTGGAATTTCATGATAGGGCTGTGGATCAGATTATCAAATGGCTTTAGCTTACATTAGATTGTAATGGAGTGTTGCCTTAATCACAATCTTTAATTGTGGTTTGTTAGGGTTTATCCTATTTTGGCCATAGTCAAGTATATCATCGGAACCCAAGTTAATGGTTAGGGAATGATTAAGCTGCTCTTAGTCTTCTAAAAAAAATTCTGTAGAAGGCAGAAATTTAAAACATGGTTAATGGTTGAGTGTTCTGCATGAAGATGTGCTTAGCCTGATGTATGGTTCAATTCATAGACAATATAATTCACTTTTTTTTGGGTAGAATTAAAAATTGTGGCACTTCAAATCCTTCTAAAACTTGCAGAATTGCCAAAAAATCATTCCAACCAAAGCTATTTCTGTGAAAGGAGAGGTGGTCATTTTCAAAGTCAATTACCTCTCACTATTCTAGATTTAGTTTAGGTTTCCCCACATGTTACCTTCTGACAAAAAATACTTTGAAACAATTCTTCATATTAAAAACTAAACCACAAACCATAGTTTACAAATTCCTTTGGCACACAATCTCTTAGTGTGCTAAGTACAGGTAGTCGACCACAACTGAGCCCAAAATTTCTGTTGTTAAGTGAGAAATTTGTTTTGTTCCATTTTATGAGCTTTCTTGCCTGAGCTGTTAAGTGAATCACTGCAGTTGATAAGTTTGTAACCCAGTTGTTAAGTGAATCTGGCTTCCCCATTGACTTTGCTTGTCAGAAGGTCAGAAAAGGTGACCATGTCACCCATTTATGATGGGACACTGCACCCATCATAAATATGAGCCAGTTGCTAAGTGTCTGAATTTTGATTACATAATTATGGTGATGCTGCAAAGATCGTAACTGTGAAAAATGGCCATAAGTCATTTTTTTCAGCACCATTGTAACTTTGAAAGGTTACTAAACAAAATGTTGTTAAGTCAAGGACAGCCTGTACAGAAGTACAGAATGCAAGTACAGTCCTTTAATTATTCTGTACCCAAAATAATCACCATTCTATTTATTGGGCTCATAGATTGTATGTTAAATCATAACAAACCACATAATACTGTATTAGCTTGGGTTTTTTTTTAACTAAGAATATTCTGGGAAGCTAGTCATTGTGGTTTGTAAACTATGACTTGCAGTTTACTGGTACAGCACTGTATTTCTCAAGTTTAATATGTGTGGACTTCAATTCCTAGAATTTCCCAGCCAGTTACCATCTTAAAGTTGCCATGATTGAGAAATTCTGATATAGCATGTTTTTCAGTGTCTCCATTTGGCTGTCCCCCCCCAAAATGGGCAGGGGACTTATATATATGAGTAACATAGCTAATGGGCCGATGACACACTCGAGGAGCCAGGCGCAGAGACAGACATCTGTATATAGGCAAGTTCCCTAATCACCTAGCAGTCTAACTCTAATGGCGTCAGTAGTTTGGCTGATGAAAGCTCAGTAACCTTCTTTACTCACAGGCTTTTTTACTCACTTATATTAAACGGTCCTGTTTATTTTTATCCTGGTCTTCATTTTTCATATATATATGTGTGTGTGTGTGTGTGTGTGTGTGTGTGTGTTTTCTGAAGTTTTGCGGGTGTTTGTATGTAGGTCTTTGGTTATTCGGGTTTTCTATATATTAATAAGAAACATCCTTCACTACAGGGTTCATGGCAAATTTGGCTCTTGCTGATATTCTATTCCTCCTACTCATGAGAAAATACTATGGCAGCTTATTGGAGTGAGGGGTGGAAACAGTGGGAAACCTTTTTTAAAAAAAACTGCAAACTTCTGAACTGGTAAACAAAATATAATAAAAAATAAAATAAAGAAAAAAAATACATGTGAATAAAATAAAAGACAATGGATGGAAACTGAATGAGAGAAGCAACCTAGAACTAAGGAGAAATTTCCTAACAGTAAGAACTATTAATCAGTGGATTGACTTGCCTCCAGAAGTTGTGGTTGCTCCACCAGTGAAGGCTTTTAAGAAAAGACTGGACAACCACTTGTCTGGAATGTTATAAGGTCCCCTGCTTGAGCAGAGGGTTGGACTAGAAGACCTCCAAGGTCCCTTCCAACTGTTGTTCTGTTCTGTTCTAAATAAGTAGCCCAGAGATAGCAGCAGCAGACCAGAAACAGTATAATATTAATCATGTGGGCAAGGAGGAATTAGATAGAGGAAAAGGAGAGGGCAGGCAAGGAGGAAGCATCTGATGAAAGAATATCAGGATGTTGGGATACACATTCTGCCCCTCTTATATTTGCAGAATTTGTGGTAAAATGGCACAGTGCTCTGTTTGTCCTTTTGACAAAAACCACCAAAACTATAGACACCCACAATTACAGTATGTCAAAGGATTGAGAAAAGTGTCTTTTCATGTTGCCTCCTCTTCTTGCCAAACTTTCCAGGAAGAAGTGTACCCAGTTACGCAATGTAAGAGAAACTTGACAGTCTGCCAACCTGAAATGATTTTGTCAGAAGTATTTCTTTGTTGACTAATCAATTTCGCTCCTTCCAAAGTTTCCTTCCTCAATAGGAGAAGTTTCTTCTTTTTAAAGCTAATTTTCTGGGAGATGAAAAGTTTCTTTTTTTTACTGTATTGTTAAGCCATTTGGTACATTGTTGAAGATGCCATAGGCTGTTGCCAAGCATCCAATTTTTGATCACATGACCATGGAGATGCTACAATGGTCATAAGGGTGAAAAATGGTAATTAGTAACCTTTTTCAGTACCTGTTGTAACTTTGAACGGTCATTAAATGAACTGTTGTAAGTCAAGGACTACCAGTACTCCATTGTTTCGTTGGCTTCTCATCTATCAAAAACATTTCCATGGTTGAAAATGCTTCTGTAGTCTTTATTACAGTTTATGTTAATTTTTATGTTCTTTGTAAAACTTTTAATAGCATTTAGAAAGACAGACAGATGGATGCTAAGTAAGTAGACGTTGGGTAGGTGATAAGTAGAAGAAAATAGAATAGAATAGAATAGAATAGAATAGAATAGAATAGAATAGAATAGAATAGAATAGAATAGAATAGAATAGAAAGGGACTTTGGAGATCTTCTAGTCCAGCCTCCTGCTCAAGCAAGAGAACCTATACCGTCTCAGACAGGTGAATGTCCAATCTCTTCTTAAAAATCTCCAGTGATGGAGCACCCATGATTTCTGAAGGTAAGCTATTCCACTGGTTGATTGTCCTCACTGTCAGGAAGTTTCTCCTTAGTTCCAGGTTGCTTCTCTCTTTGATCAGTTTCCAACCATTGTTTCTCATCCTTCCCTCTGGTGCTTTGGTGAACAACCTGGCCCCCTCTGCCTTGTGGCAGCCCCTCAGATACTGGAACATTGCTATTATGTCTCCCCTATTTCTTCTTTTCTGTAAACTATCGAAACCCAAGTCCCGTAGCCATTCTTCATATGTTTTAGTCTCCAGGCCTTTGATCATCTTAGTTGCTCTTCTCTAAATTCTTTCCAAACTCTCAACATCTCTTTTGTGATAAGGTGACCAAAATTGGCTGCAGTATTCCAGTGTGATCTTACTAGGGTTTTATGAAGCGGTAATAATACTTTGTGTGATCTTGATTCTATGCCTTTGTTTATACAACCCAGGACTGTATTAACTTTTTTGATTGCTGCTGCATACTGCTGGCTCATAGTCAAGTGATCGTCCACTAGGACTCCCAAGGTCCCTCTCACATTACTGTTTTTAAGCCAGGTCTCACCCAATCTGTATTTGTACCTTTGGTTTTTCCTGCCTAAATGTAAGATTTTGCTTTTCTCCACATTGAAACTCATTTTGTTGGATAGGGCCCATTGTTCAAGTTTGTCAAGATCTTTTTGGATCCTGAGTTTGTCTTCTGTCTTCTATTGCTGTCAGTTTGATGTCATCTGCAAATCTGATGAGTTCCCCTTCAATTCCCTCATCTAAGTCAATTATGAAGATATTGAAGAGTACTGGGTCTAAGATGGAACCCTGTGGTACCCCATTGTTTACTTCTCTCCATGTGGATGTAGTGCATTGAGGATTACTCACTGAGTATGGTTTGTTAGCCAGCTATAGATCCATCTGGTGGTGATGATGTCTATTCTACCTTTTCCTAGCTTACCAAGGAGTAGGTTGTGATCTACCTTGTCAAATGCCTTACTGAAATCTAAGTATACTACATCCACTCTATTTCTCTGGTCTACTAGTTTAGTCACTTTATCGAAGAATGAGATGAGATTTGTTTGGCATGATCTGTTTTTAACAAACCTGTGCTGGCTACTAGTTATGACTTTGTTTGCTTCTAGTTGTTCACAAATCTGCTTTTTGATTATGTTTTCTAGGATCTTCCCAGGTATTGATGTTAAACTGATTGGTCTATAGTTTCCTGGGTCCATTTTTTTTTCTTTCTTGAAGATAGGGACTACATCAGCCCTTTTCCAATCCTCAGGTAGTTCCCAGGTGCTCCAGTGTTTATGAAAGATATAGTACAGCAATTCTGAGATAATATCTGCGAGCTCTTTCAGAACTCTGGGATGTAGCCTGTCGGGTCCCGGTGATTTGTATTCATCAAAGTTGGATAGGTGTTCCCTTACCATTTTCTTGCTTATTTTAAATTTTGTTTCTAGTATGCCTTTTGCAGTGGGTTTTTTTTTTTTTTTTTTTTTTTGGTTATTGGGCTATAGTTTCTTTTTGTGCGAAGGCTGGCACAAAGTATGAGTTAAGCAGCTCGGCTTTCTCCCTGTTGCCTTTAATTTCCTTGCCATCTTCTCTCTTTAGTGGGCCTACAGTTCCCTTGATTTTTTTTCTTGGTGTTAATATGTTGGAAGAAATTTTTTTTATTGTCCTTGATTTCTGTTGCAAGTCTTTGTTCATTCTGAGCCTTTGCTTTCCTGACTTCATCTTTGCATGTTCTCGCTGCTGATAGTTGGCTTTAGTTATGTGCCCCTCTTTCCATTTTTTGTATTTGTCCTTTTGTCTTTTAGTTTGTTAGAAAGAACCATGCTGGTTTCTTCTTGGATTTCTTGTTTTTCTTTTTCAGTGGTATTTTGCTGGTCTGGGCTTTTGTGATCACATTTTTCAGGGTTTCCCACACTTCCTGGGTTGTTTTCCCCTTTAGGATTTTCATCCGTGGGATTTTTCCTAGATTCTCTCTGAGATTGTTAAAGTCAGCTCTTTTGAAGTTTAGGACATTGGTTGGATTGTTGTCTATTGCTAGTGTTTGCATTATATTAAATTCCAGTATGACATGGTCACTTTTGCCCAAGGTTCCGGTAATTTCTGCTCCCTCTATCACTTCTTCTCTGTTTGTAAGGATTAAGTCCAATATAGCTTTACATCTAGTTCCCTCCTCACTTTTTGGGTGACAAAGTTGTCAGCTATCTTGGTTAGGAATGTTTGATCTCCCGCTCACTGCAGAGTTTGTCTCCCAGTTGATATCTGGATAGTTGAAGCCTCCCATTACTACTGTGGTATGCTTCCTGCATGCATTTGTTAACTGGTTGGCAAAGAGTTCATCTATTTCTTCTGATTGGTTGGGTGGCGTGTAATATACACCTATGGCCATGTCACTTTTTTTTCTTTTATATTGACCCATATACATTCTGGAGAGATTTTATCTTTGATCATGTGCATTTCTGCAGATATGTAGTGTTCTCTTACATATAGTGCAACTCCTCCTTCTCTTTTTGCAGACCTGTTTCTTTTGAACAATTTGTATCTATCAGTCCATTCCATTCATGGGTTTCATCCCACCAGGTTTGTTATGCCAACTATGTCATACCCTCCCCTGTGTACTATTGCTTCTAGTTCACCCTTTTTGTTCCCCAACAATTTTTGAAAAAAAAATGCAGATATTTCCTCCCCCAACAATAACATTTTAAATTGTTAAATATTCATTCTTAAGTAAGAAATGTATTTTCACATAGTAGCTAAGCCACAACATAATGTGTTGGGCTTGTGATGAGGTAGAAATATGGTGAAGATCATGAGCTTCAGGCCTTCAGTCTTTAACAAATCAATTGTTAAAGTAGTGTTTGAGTCCACCAATGAGTGGTACAATGGATGGAAGTGGCTGGCAGGCAGGAACTGTGAAGATAAGTGCCAACTCTCAACATTGCCCAATTAGAGAATATCTTTTCATCAATATAGCCAGTCACCAGGTTGGTCCCAATTCTTGACAGGTCTTTGTGTGCTTAAGGTATTTTAATAGACTGGAAAGGGAGGAGGCAAGAGCCACTGTTCCTTGGCTTTCACTTAGCATATTGGGTGAGGCCAGCTGTTGGGTTATATAAACCATGGTTTATAACCTGTTGTGATAGGTAATCCCAGCCAATCATAGCTTTTATTCAACAAATCATGTTTAAGCATGCCATGGGTTAGAACAATATGAGAACCTGGTCACTAGGAGAGTTTATGAATATTTTCACTCTTTGTAACTTTGCAAGCCTTTGGTGGAAGGTCCATGATGATATGTTAATTCCACAGGTCCTTCGAAATGCTGGAAAATCACAGTCTGGGTCACACTGGGAGGAAGCATTGCTTTGAATGTGGCCCTAATTGTTCTTCTGATAGGTAAGTATCTGAGATCAGGCGGGGAGTGGGTTACAGAGATGGATTTCAATTGGAGAGATAAAAGCTCAGATCTTCATTAAGCCCTAGAGTCCAGCCAAGCCACTCTCTTCCACCAAATCCATTTCATGGAATCAGAATAGAGCTGGAAGGGACCTTGGAGGTCTTCTAGTCCAACTCAAGCAGGAGACCCTATAACATTTCAGACAAGTGGCTATCGTCTCTTCTTAAAAACCTCTAGTGATGAAAAACCCACAACATCTGAAGGCAAGCTGTTCCACTGGTTGATTGTCCTCACTACTAGGAATTAACCAGTGGAACAGCTTGCCTTCAGACATTGTGTTGTGACAGAGTTGGCATTGTGGGAGTAAAATCTGGGAAAACTTTATGTGGCCCTCATTAATTCCAAGACTGTTCCTGAGCCAATCCCGTATTCCTTCAGTTCTTCAAAAGATAACGGGTGAAGCTTTGACCATCAATGTTTCTATGTCATGGAAATGCTTTGTTGGTTGCATTTCTGGATGTTAAGCTGATTCCATCAGCAGCATCTCCCTTATGTGATCTTGCTGTTTTCCACAAAACCACTAGACCAGTGTTGCATGGCTGTGCCTTGAGCTCCATTCCTTTTACACATGCTGCTGATGACACATTCCTTGTACAAAGTAGACAGAATTTACAATATAATGCCACAACGCTGCTTTGTAAGTCTGCCCCACCCCATTCTGATATCACTGGTTGATTCCCACTAGGTAGCTACCAGCTGCCCTGTTATATCTTTTTTTTTTAAAAAAATTCCTATAGCCAGGAAGATTGTATTTCCATAAAGGTTTGGGAGAAACCATTCATTGACCCTTTAAAGTGGAGCAGAATAGAAAACCAAACTTTTGAATGCTAATATTACTTTTATTATATGATTACAGTAACAGAATCTTGCAAAATTGAATGCTCTTTATTCCTTTCCTCCCTTTATTTTCATGAGAAATAAGAAGGGTACTGTCTGAGATATTTTCTCAAATTACATTTATGTCTGGGATTTAGATTTTTTTTTTTTAGCTGACCATTTCTTACTACATATTCCCCTCTGTTTAATAGCAACCAGGTCTGGGCTGCAAAAATCCTTACTGTTTCAATTATCTTTATTGGCATAAATTTCAGATTTATAAAATCCATTTTATGATAGTTTTTGTAATCTTGCAAACTAAGCTTCTATTTTGTATTTGCATTTTATATGCAAATGAATGATTATATACTACTTTTGAGCTGAAATAATGATTGAATATATATATCATTTCCCATCGTATAACCTAAACTTTTTAAAAAGTATTTCAGATACAAGGTGTTGTCTACCCATCGACTTCAACCAATTCATGTGGATGGATCCCAGGAACTTTAATAGGTAATTTTAAATGATTTATTTTGGGTTTTTTTCTTGTTTAATTTTCTGAAGTCAGGAGTTAAAATACCGATAGCCAAAGCAAATCAATGTAATTTATTCATAATTTAGAACAAAAGATTGATCCAGTTCTCTATGAATGTCCTGGAAAAGACAATCACAGCAACTTACACTTTACAATAGTAAAAAGCTGTAGTCACATGACACATGATTTTACTCAGCTACCCTAATTTTTAAGTTTACACAACACATGCAAATCCAAATATTCTCATAGGGCAGTGATGGTGAACCTTTTAAAGACCGAGTGCCCAAACTGCAACCCAAAACCCACTTATTTATCGCTGGGTGCCAGGTGGGCGTGGCCCACTGGGTGGGCGTGGCTGTGGTGGTCATAGCAGACTGGGTGGGTGTGGCAAAAGTGGGCATGGTCACCTCGATGTTGCTCATGGGGAGGGACACCTGTGGGGGCCAGGAAGGATTGGGGGAGATCCAGGGGATCTCTGGCAGGTGGGGTGGTGGACAGGAGGCTTATCCTGCGGGGTAAGGCGAGGCAGGGCGGGGGTGCCATTGTCACAGGGCAAGGCAAGGCAGGGGCCGGGGCAGCTGCTGCCTAACACTATTGGCCCCCGCACACAGAGGCCAACGAGCACATGGGGGCCAACAGTGTCTGTCAGCAGCCACAGCCTGCTGGCCCCTCGACTGGTGCACTCTGGGGCTCTGCAGCCCACTGCCATCAGTTCAGAGAAGCCGTCTCTGAGCTGAAAGGCCAGCTGACAGCTGTGGAGGCAATGCCTGAGTCATGCCTGAGAAAAGGAGACCATGTGAGGCCAGGAGGGATGGGACTGGGGGAGGGAAATCAGCTGTGCTGGGATACATCCGGCCACGTGGGACTTCGACAAGTTAGTGGGCAGCTGGTTGAAGAGGGATGATTGATATCTCAGGGACATGGCATGCGTGCCCACAGAGAGGGCTCTGAGTGCCGCCTCTGGCACGCGTGCCATAGGTTCACCACCACTATCACTATCACACAGAGGTTCTGAACTCTGAGATATCATGACCCCAAGAATGATAAAGGAATTTGTGAAATGTCTTTGGCCCCATAAATAAAATTATTTCATTGGGATTATTAGGGCTGGACAAGACATAAATAAACCCTTTAAATGGATCATAATTTAATCTATGTATATCCAATAAAAGTCTTAGAATTTTAACAATTTCTTTTGTTCGCTTAACATTTCTAACATCATTGTTTGACAAATATATATTGAGACTGTTTTGCTTTTTAATAAACCCACTTATGGAATCAAAATATACATCGTATACTTTTTAAACTTAGATTTATTTTTATTAACACTATTTGTAGCTTTTTCTCTTAGAATACAATAAAATCTTGCATTATTTAAATTTAAATAATGCAACAAAACTTGACCATGTAGGGGAAGGGTGTGCATGAATGTCCAATGTCCATTATAATTGAAATTCCATTTAACTGCATGAATTTGCATCATTTGTGGCAATTTATATAATTTACATCAGCTACAGATGATGCATCTTTCATCATTTTGCTTTTCTCCTGTAGTTTCCATGAACTTTGACCCAGAGACTGCTCATCGCCGGATTGTCATTTCTAGGGATCGGAAAACTGCGACATGGGGAAAGGAAGAACAATCACTTCCTGAAAGTGATAAAAGATTTAACCTGCGGGTATGGGTTCTGGGCCAGACTGGGTTTAAATCAGGAAAACACTGTTGGGAGGTGGAAATAAAACACGATGGAGAATGGGCGGTGGGAGTTGCCAGGGAGTCAGTGAAGAGAAAAGGATTGACGGATTTTAGCACCAAAGAAGGCATCTGGGCTATTGCAGAATATTGGGAGAAAGCAAATTACATAGCTTTTACTGAGCCACAACACACCAAGATTTCTTTTGAAAAGAAGCCCCGGAGGATTCGTGTGTTTGTGGATTACCTCTATCAAGAAGTGGAATTTTTCAATGTAGAAACAAAGACTACCATATTCCTTTTCTCAAACGCATCCTTCTCTGGAGAAATAATCTATCCCTGGTTCCGGGTTTGGGACGGAACTGAGCTGATGCTTCATCCCTAATGCCCACTACTTAATGAAAAAGGGAGCTCTTTCTCATGACACTCTGTTGGCTAGGTATGGTGGGAGCTGTGGTCTAGCACGTTTGGAAGATGGTCCTGTGGATTATACTACTTGGGACTGTGAACATTATGCAGTCATGGCTGTTGCAGAGATGCTTACTTCAACCATCCATACAACCTTTCACCTAATACCTTCAGGAAAATTTGGGAATTATAAATAAGTCACCAGTTTGGGGAAACCTATTCTAGAGTGCATAAAAGGTTGCAACCAAGTTAATTCTCTGTAGCCATAAGAGTAAGATATGCAGGTATCTCTGCAGATATGAAGAAGCTTCTGTAATTTCAAAATATGAGTCTTTCCAACAGAGGTCCATTGTATTTCCACAATATTCCCAGCTATGGTCCATGACAATCACACAGGTTGATTGTGGGGACAGTCACGCAGGTTGGTTGTGATGCAAACTGTGGTTGAAATATCACATATTGGCAGCATTGTTCAGGATTTCAGATAGAGCACAAACATTTTATGTTCCCATGAGTGATATCATGAGATCCATGCATCACAGTACTTGCGGGCATCACACAACCAACTTGCTTATGTAGCAATTTGTGATAAGAAAGTTTGCATGAAGAAAAAAAAAGTGGGAATTGTCAACTATTCAATTTTCAGTACCTTGAGTAGTCAAGATAGAATTCCACTCTTGAATCTTAGTGTTCTATGAAGATTCCCAATATAAATATGATCCAAGTCTGATCTTTCTTATTCACATAAGGTTAGGCAGATATGGCTACCTTTTGAAATACATTTTACCTAAGCCCAAATGAAATAAACCATATTATGACTTAGGTGATTTGTGAATTTGATCATGTTATTTAGTATTGCAGTAATTTCAGTAGCTTGAACCCAATTTTTGTCATATTTTTAATATTAACTTAGGATGGCTTATAAGGTAATAAAGCCCTACCCCCTTCCCCAATCATTTAGTTTAGTTAGTTCAGATTCATCATGATCCAATGGACATTTTTCCAGGATTGGCAGAACTGTTTCTTTGAGTCCTTGTAAGCTCATTCAGGTGTCACCAGTGACAGCATCCAGCCAACTTGTGTCTGTTGCCCCCCCCCCAACTTTAACACAATCCTTCTAATATTGAAACATTCTTGCAGTCCAAGGTGTTCTCAACAATTCTCTCCAGCAAAATGTGGGTTCCTGCAAATGTATTAGGGAGTGTAACTCCCATAATTCTAGCCTTCCAAACAACTATTGAAATCTTCCAATAAGTAAATATATATTGTCTGTGAACATCTTTTGCCCCATTTGTAACATTCATTGGGTGTTTGCCGACATGTATTCTCAACTGTTAACTGAGGTTCTCTGTCACAGAATCCTTTCTGCCATTGTCCAGGATGGCTCTTTGATGTGTTACAAAGTTTGTAACTGCAGTAAAACCTTTTCTGGGCAACTGTGTCTTTTCTTTTGGGATAAAAGTGCAAGAAAGAAGTTACCTTGATGAGCATACCACTGGTTGAAAAGCCCTGGTCTATCCCATCCCCAATTATTCCTTATCCCCATTAGAAATGCTGATTCTGCAAAACCTGCCTTTGTCTCACCACCCTTGAAAGAGGTTAAAGAGCAATCAAATTGGGAAAACAGCCATCAATTTCAGTTGTGCATTATTCTCAGAATTATCGCTCTGGGCGATATTTTCAACATACTTCCGTTAAGTTAGGTTGCTCTAAGCACTGAAAGTGCCAATATTCAATGAAAATCTCAATCCAGGTAAATCTAGGCACACAGTGGTTGACCTTCCATAAAGGAAAGTAAAGGGCAAGCCTTCTTTCCAAAATTTTCAAGGGACGTTGTTTCCTTCAAGACGACCATCAGCTTCTGCATCAACTTCTTCCTTTTGTGTTTCTTTATCTTGTTCTTGGTGAACATTCTAATGTTATTCAGAATTTCTATTTTCCCAGCTGTTCACAATGACTTAAGAGTGTCATATCTAACTCTGCTCTTCAACTCATTATAGAAATGCTAATAATATAAGTCAAATTCTTTGCTTATGAGAAATTGAACACCTACTGTATTTGCTTTCGTGATTCTCCTGATGCAGTGATGGCGAATGTTTTAGAGACCGAGTGCCCAAACTGCAATCCAAAACCCACTTATGTATCGTTGGTTGCCGGGTGGGCATGGCCCATGGGGTGGGTGTGGCCCAGTGGGTGGGCATGGCTGTGGTGGTAATGGCAGACTGGGTGGGACTAAAAAGTTTAATTAATCAATTCCAACTTTGTGAGATCTTTTTTTTCCTGTGAGAAGTTGAAATTGATTGATTGATTGAATCTTTTTTTTTTTTTTTGCACATGGCAGTGGAGGCTTAAAGCGAAAAGGTTTTAGGCAAGGCCTAGGCAAAGCAAAAAGTATTTATTAAGGGGGGAGGGTCATCTTTTTCTAGAGTACATTTGGTATAAATGCTCCACAAGAAAGCAAGTGATTAAACAATAAAAACATGGATTATATGTGAGACTTGAACAGAAAACATTCTGTGAAAACACAGCTCTCTGGAAAAATGCTGGGTAACGTGGAAAGAACAGAAGAGGACAACCAAGCGGCATGGTGAATAGACTCACTTACAGTGGCGATGGAGGCACTGTTGGGAGACCTGCAAAACCAGGTTAGGGATAAATGGTGTTTGAGAAAATTTATGTGGTTGCTAAGAAGGTTAGGGATAGATGGTGTTTGAGAAAATTTATGTGGTTGCTAAGAGTAAAAAAGAACTTGGGAGGGCATAATCAGTTTATTTGTTTATTAAATTTCTACACCATCCATCTGACCTAAGCGACTGAGTGGTTTACAGGTTCTTGCAAATGTGCATTAAATGCAAAAGTACAGCATCACATTTGTGTTATTTTGTTATGCTTTCAGTACACTAGTGATGTAAGATACACCATTTGTCTTATCTGCATAGCGATATTACACTGCAGATATCATAAAAGGTAAAATTAACATAAATGTAATAGCTTTATCCTGGCTATTTTGGATACAGCAGACCTCTTATTATTTACATGGTTTGATCTGCTGCATTCAAGGTCCATTAAATGAGATTCATTGAATCCAAGTCTCAGTTGCATGCATTGCTGTGTGCCTAACTGATTTTGCATTTCATTCAAGCAGATGGCATTCACCAATGAAGTATATGCAATAAATTCATTTGATGAGTCATTTCTTAACTTTAGCCTGCAAAGCAGCTGTTCTAGGCAGGCCTAAGTATGTATCGTATGGCTAATATTGTGCCATCTGGGTCTGCTGTGCAAAGGAAAATGTTTGGCCCTTTGCCATTACTGTATTTTAATTTCAGCCATATCTCCTTAAGGCTTTGTGTCACGTTCTTACTACCTCTTACAGCTGATTTACAACTCCATATACACTTAGAAGGGGGAATATGGAGAATCAAAGAAGCTTAATTATAATGATTATAAGCGTCTCAAGTTTTTCAGGGAGAATAAAAGAAAGTTGGGAAAAAAAACACAAAGTTATCAGCTGCCCCTGGCAACTTTGAAAGCTGCCTGAGCGTCCAGGGATTGCTTTAAGCACCAGGTTCTTCATTTCAGCCATTATATTGTCATTACGGCAGGTGTCAATAGCAGTTACTGCAATCCAAGTCACCCCGGGGAATGTCAGTTTGAGTGCACAGAGTTCACAGATGCAGAATGAGGATCATTATTATTTTTAAAGACCTTAAAACACCTGATCAGTGTCTGCTCAACTTTTGTTAATGTAGTTTATTAATGTAAGGAATGTAGTTGCACAATCAGATTGAGACAATCATAAGAAATACAGTGATCGATCTCTAGAAGGAGAGGTATTTTGTTCCCCTTGGTGCCAATCAGATCTGCCTGGGAAATCTATAAAGAGGATGCTCAATAGTGCCTCCTGCTGATGTATTCCAGAAACTGCACCAAAAAAGCACACTGTTCCTTGTATACAACAATCATAAACAGAAACTACTGAGAACCACAATGAATTTATCTCTTTGAAGTTGCACGCAATCCCCCAAAGACTTGGAGCATTCCTCACAGGGCCTCCAAAATTTCGTGTTGAATTGTAATTTTTTAAACTAAATTACACTAAATGTTTATCCTGATCTTGCTGCCTTTTGGAGTTCATCTTCCATTACTACCCCCCCCCCAAAAAAAGTTTGGTTTTAACCTAGGCTATAGTGTATGTAGACCAAGCCATTGCAGTACAGGTACTCCTTGCCTTCTGACCACAACTGAGCCCAACATTTCTGTTGCTAAGTGAGACAGTTGTTAAGTGAATTTTATCCCATTTTATGACCTTTCTTTCTACAGTTGTTAACAACTGCAGTTGTTAAGCTAGTAACACAGTTGTGAAGTGAATCTGATTTTCCTCATTAACTTTGCTTGTCAGAAGGTGACCAAAGCTGATCACATGACTCGGGGATACTGCAACCATCATAAATATGAGTCAACTGCCAAACGTCTGAATATTGATCATGTGACCCTGAGGATGCTGTAATGATTAAGCCTTAATTCTTCAAGTCACACATATCCATCATGGCTAATATTCTTCAGTATGAATAAATACTTACTAGACTGACATTGAAAACCTGCAGTTTTGAGTCTAGTACAGGTAAATCCTCGACTTATAACCATTTAGTCAAGGAATTTTTGAAGTTCTGAACAGCACTGAAAAAAGGGACCAGTCCTTATGACCGTTGCAGTATCCCCATGATCATCTAATCAAAATTTGGGCGCTTGGCAATTGGCATGCATTTACAATGGTTGAAGTGTCCTGGGGGGGTCACTTAATTGCCATTTGTGACCTTTCCAACTGACTTCCAACAAACAAAGTCAATGTAGGAAGCCAGACTCATTTAATAACCCCATGATTCACTTACCAACCATGGCAAAAAAAGATCATAAAACTGGGCTCAAATCACTGAACAACCACCTTGCTTAGCACTAGAAATTCTGGTCCCAATGTGGTCATAAGCGAGGACTACCTGTACTTTATGAGATTTGCCTACCGTTTTATTAAGCAACTCTCCTATAAAATACAATACAAAAACAATATAATTGGAATAAAAACTCCAGTCTAACTGGCCATTCAATGAAATAGTAAAAGTCATCAGCTAAAATTAATTTGAAAGAATTTGGCACTGTTGGCTACAGTTAATACCCAAAGAACTTCTAATTCAGCTATGTTTTCACTTCTTTCTGGAAGTCCACAAAGGGGGGGGGTGTCCTTGTATCAGGGGACATAGCTGTCCTGAAGAAGGGGAATTGTGACAAAAGACCCACCAATGGACTTTCTCTTCTTGTACCTTTTGATAGAGACCCATAGCCGGTGCTCCCTTTCAGATAGAACAGACTAAAACATTTTGGAAAAGACAGTCCCAATAACTCCCAGTTTTGAGCCATACTAGCAACCCCAGACTAAGTCCTGATTCCTACAGCCTAATACAGCAACCTAGGATTTAATTTGGGGGGGGGTGAACTCTATTAGCATTTGCAATAAATTGGGATTTATTGCATTGCAATTATTGACTCCAAGGCACCAGAAGGCAGGACAAGAAGCAATAGATGAAAACTAATCAAAGAGAGAAGCAACCTAGAACTAAGGAGAAATTTCCTGACAGAACAATTAATCAGTGGAACAACCTACCTCCAGAAATTGCGAATGCAACTATAGAAAGACAGTTATAAGAATATCCAATGAGTCACTTACAAGTTCCTGCTCAAAAATATCACTGAAAAACATGTGGATCACATCTATTTTCTTTTTAAATGGCTTTTCTTCCTTGTTCTACACTTGAATTTTACCTGTCCTTATGTCAGGCATAAAAGACCAGGACTACATATGAAGTTCCAATTAAACTGATTTACTAGTAATCATGCCTATGCACAGGAATCTAAGTTAGCACTATCTTGGCATTAGATAAGGATCAACAAAATTCAAGAGCAGTTGGACTTAGTACGTTTATGGGTAGTTATTGATTCTAGGCTGACTCCTCTTTTGACTCCACCCTGGTTCTGCCACTCCTTCTCCCACACCTTGTTTGCAAATGACATAAACTATCAAGCTGAGCAGTAGAATTCAGTTTTTCAAGGATCAGCCCATTTTCTCCTGATTGTCTATGGACTTACACCTCATTGGTTGGGGAAATATCAATGCCCTTTCAAGCCAATATTTAAAATTTAACCAGGGCTACACCTTGGCCATTCTTGCACTCTGCCTAGAATTGAATCATCAAGCATTTGCAAGGCAATCAGTAAGTTGTCTCTAACCGGGCAGATACATTGTTGGGTACAGCAGACCTCTGAATATTTAGTAAGCTTTCCTTCCCTTAATATATTTATATAATGATAATATAGATTGTGTGCATTTGATATTATGCAAGGAGACCAAAAGACCAGATGTTCTCGAGACACATTTTCATGATTCTTCAGATTTCTGGGGCATAGAAACTAACAGCTTTTTGCAGTTTATTCTAAGAATTTATTTTTTGACTATGGACAATACAATATTTTATTTTGGGATGATGTGGTAGCAAAACCTCCTTATTAAATAGCTAAAACTCCTACTGGGAAAATAGAAATAATTGATACTCTTATTTGTATATTTTCAGGGATACTTCAAGCATAATGTGATAAACCAGATTTGTTTTAACTAGCTTGCACACTGTACAAAATGCTAAGGCAAAAAATCATGGTTTACAAACCACAATAGCCTGGCTCACAGATCCTGCTATGCCATAATATAATCTGTCGGGTTTTGGAATATGTACAGGGTACCAAAAGTCAGATTATATAGGCCAATCACAATATGCTTCAACAATTATTTTTTTCCCATGTTACTATACTTAGGAATGTTCAAATGTCATTCATCATCCTAACATGAGGTAGGAAGCATTTAGAAGAAAATGGTAACCAATTGTGATATTTAATACACATTTAATACTCTTGTCTATGGCACCTGACTTTTGATCTACCCTGTATACGAATCCATTATTCTGTGTTATGACTAAGCATGTAGATTGGTCAGTTATTATGAACAAGAACTGAAGCTTTATATTCGCTCTGTATTACCTACAATTTTTATTGTGATCAATGATCTATCCAGAATAAGATATAAAAATCATATAAACACCAATAAGAATATGGTAATCATGGATATTTGATTCGAACTGCTTCCATGAAAAATTATCACAACATTGGTGATGCTGTCATTGGACTCAGAAATTAAGAACTTTGTTCGCTAAAGTTCTATCTATTTGGGTATTGTTACACGTTGGGTGAAATGAATGAGTTCCACAGACCTCTATAAAAATTACAGTACATGAGTGATGATTTTGATTTCTCCTGAAATGCCTAGAGTCAAGTCTGTTCAGGTAAGGATTTTTTAAGTATCTGATCAGCAAAAATGCCGATGTTAGTTCTTTACCAAAAATCAGGGGTCACCATTATTGATCTGTAAAGCCAGACTTTCTTGCAGTTGGCTGAAGTGTCTGTCGTGAAAGGACAACAAAGTATTCATTCATGTTGGAATAATTGAGTCAGTAATTGACTCAACCACCCAACCTTGGATATTATGGTATTTGGGATGATTGCAGTGCTAATGGTCTCATTTCCATCAACCCAGAAGATTTGACCTAACCCAGCCCAAATTTACTTTTGCATGTAAGATGCATTCCCTCAGATCAATGATGCTTTTCTATGTTATTAACTCATGCCTAGCATATGCCTCCAAGTTGGAAGGGGTGAAGATTGTTCATGTGAAGGGCAACCTTATCTGAAGATAGATATTTAATACTTATAAAAGATGTGGCTCTAACTGGGATTCCTATAACCGGCCTGTAAAATTCTTCATGGACAATATATAAGAGCAAAGAGTTAAATGATCATCTAGCAATCCTACTCAAACCTACTTTGCATGACATGTAAGAGATACTAGAAGTTTCAGACTTAGTAGTCTGTCTAGTGGTTGTGCAAGGCTGTCTTGGCATATATTAACAAACTTGATCTTGGGGAGTAGGTCTGAATTTCAGGCTACAACAATGACTTCAAAGATCAAGATGAACTAAGCATTTCTCGAAACAAAAGTATATTGTGTGAGAAGCCTTGCTGATGATGCCTGGTGTCAAAGGACGTCAAACAAAGTGCTGGTTCTTTACTTATTAACCATTTGGAGATAAGATTTATTACAAAGACCATCTGGAGATAAGGTTAATTGCAAAGTCCAAATAGTAATTGTAATCTTACCCAACAAGGCAAATTTCACTACTCAAATTTCAAATTAACCCAATTCCCACATTCACAAAGATTAGATTTACTTGATTGGGCTTACTGCCGATGCATGAATTCAGTTAATTATAAGGTTTTCAGAAAATCATGGACAACAAAAACATGATAAGTATTACAAGTAGTCCTAGACTAACAACAAAAATTGAGTCCAAAATTTCTGTTGCTAAATGAGACAGTTGTTAAATGAGTTTTGCCCCATTTTAGGATTCTTGTCATAGTTGTTAAGTAAATCACTGTGTCTGTTAAGTTATTAACATGGTTGTAAAGTGAATATGGCTTCCCCACTGCCTTTTCAGAAAGTGGCAAAAATTGATTATATAATCCCCAGATCCTGCAACCATCATAAATATGAGTCAGTTGCCAAGTGTTCAAATTTTGATCTCATGACCATGGAGATGCTGCAATGGTCATAAGTGTGAAAAATTGTCATACGTCAATTTTTCAATGCTGTTGCAAATCCAAACAGTCACTAAACAAACTTTTATAAGGACTACCTGTACAGTACATACTTCACACATTATACTACTACAGGCTTCAGTACACTACTAGTATACAATACAGTACATTATATAGATATACAGATTACACATCTATGGGCTTCACATATTATACTAAGCTATGAATTCTTGAATAGGTGGGATTCAAATATTTCAGTAACATGGTGAAGAAACCGAAATTAGTTTGAAAGTTTATATGGGCCATTCACTTTCATTAATGCTCTTCAGGTCCTAGGTGTCTGGGGGTGGGCAAGGGTAATTGCATCATGAGACATATGACATGATGATGTTATCATTGTGAGATCTATCAGAATTTATGCTCCAGATCTGTGAGCAATACTCAAATACCTTTTGCAACAAATTCTGGATGGAGAGGTCCCAACACACCTGAAGACATGCAGGGGATTTCTTGGTAGAGCATTCATAATGGAGAATGTTTCCTATCCCATTGTAGGGTTTGTAGGGAAATGGAGATTATATTAGTGTTTTGGTGCTGAAAGCCATGGACATCACAACACAAACACTTGTTTGTTTCTCTTTCAGACCATGAGAGTCTTAGACTTGTCAGTGAAATCTGGTGACTGCATCAAACTGAAGGGGAAAATACATCAAGGGGCCAAGAGGTCTGTATGGTTAATTGGCTTTAGGCAGGTCTGATATGACATTAGGTCCTTTCTGGCTTTGGACAGATTTAAAAGTCTTCCTTTTCCACTTCTGTTGCTCATATAAATGTTATTAATGCAGTTTTGTGCTGGGCTGCTCTGTTCTCTACTACCATTAAAAAAATAAAAATCTTGCAGTTAAGGCATCAATGCCCATTAAATCAACTAACTTTCCCTACCAATGATTTTCCACCCTGTTTAAAAGCTCTATTCAGCATCCCCAGTGGACACTCTTTCAGTTTTGAGCCAGAGATTTAGTCCCAATATTTTCTCTTGGTTTTGCAAAATGATGCAATGTAGGCTTGATGCTTCAAAGCTTTGTTAAACAAAGTCCTGCTGAATCGAGGGCCAATGTGGTGATGAAGTGCTTGGAGCATACTAGGGTCTGCTGCAATGAAATCACAATGCTTCAAAAGAAAATGAAAGGAAAATTAAGAGGAGTATGTCAGGATCAAGTGAGAGAATGCAGGAAGGAAGACAAGCAAGGCCTCCAGCAGGAAACCACAATGGACCTGGTGAGAAGAGAACACTTCCTAGAAGGAAAAGCTGGCACTGGTAGACCGGATCCTCCAGGAGTCACCCCAAGGCTTGCCTTCTCTATCTGGATGGGAAAGGCAGGAAATAGAAAAAGAACTAATCAAACCTTGTGATGGTCAAAGTCCAGACTGAGCACTGGCCCAAAACCAGTCTTGTTGCCAAACTACCGAAAATAGGACTGCAATTTCTGAAATTGGCTTAAGTAACTTGTGTTTAATGTGTCGCCCTTCCCTTTGTTAGTTTTGCCATCAACTTAGGTCGGGATGATTCTAATCTGGCCATTCACTTGAACGCTCGTTTTGAAGCCCATGGAGATGTCAAGAAGATTGTGTGTAATTCCAAATCAAATGGTCAGTGGGGTGCAGAGGTACGGTCATCGATATTCCCGTTCCAGGAAGGAGCTGAAATTAAGGTCAGGAAGAGTATTAAGGCACTGAAGTGTCAATTCAAAAGATATGGGATCTCTTTAAAAATGTTGCTGAGTGTTAAATATTCTCCTTTCTCTGAACCTTTACCTGAACTTTTTGGCCTGCCCCATGTGAAATGCCACTGGGGGCACCATGTTGGGAAAAATGTTAGCTGCTGCTACCAGCTCACTTTCCCAGTCATTTTTTTTCCAAGGGAGTAGTGAGGAGTCTCAGGTTGGATTCACTGCTTAGGTTAAAATGAAATTGAATAGCAATGGCAATAGCACTTAAGACTTATATACCACTTCACAGTCCTTTACAGCCCTCTAAGCGGTTTAGAGAGTCAGCCTATTGCTCCCAACAATCTGGGTCCTCATTTTACTACCTCAGAAGGATGGAAGGCTGAATTAAGCGTGAGCTGGTGAGAATCAAATCAAACTGCCGAATTGCTGGTAATTAGCAGTCAGCAGAATTAGCCTGCAATATTTCATTCTAACCCCTGCACCGTCATGGCTCATAGATTGTGGTTGACCATAAGGTGGGACCCAACCATTGTCTTAGCAACTCCCCAACTCCCAGTCCATGGACCAGTACCGGTCCCCAGCATGCTAGAAACCAGGCCGCACAAACAAGTGAAGCCCCATCCACGGGATGCAGGCAGCAGGCAAAACCATGCCCCCTCTGGTTCGCAGATGTTAAGTTAGTAATATGGTTGTTAAGTGAATCTGGCTTCCCCATTGACTTTGCTTGTCAGAAGGTCACAAAAGGTGATCACGTGATCCCAGGACACTGCGACCATCATAAATATGAATCAGTTGCCAAGCGTCTGAATTTTTGATCACATGATTTTGGGGAAGCTGCAATGGTCATAAATGTGAAAAATGATCATGTCACTTTTTCCAGTGCTGTTGTAACTTTGAACGGTCACTAAATGAACTGTTGTTTGTCGAGAACTACCTGTAGGTTCAGGGATCCAGAGAGGTCCAAGCCAAAGTAAAAGTACAACATGATGGCTTAAAGAAGCAAAAGAAAGTCAAAAACATACAAAAAAGAGCGAGCCACACTTTAAATATTTTTAAACAATTAACAAAATTCTGCCATTGGTTCTGCTATTAGATAATCCTTAACAATTGAGCCCAAAATTTCCATTGTTAAGCAACACAGTTGTTAAGTGAATTTTGCCTCATTTTACAACCTTGTCACAGTTGTTAACAGAATCATTGCAGGTGTTAAGCTAGTAACACAGTTGTAAAGTGAATCTGGCTTCCCCATTAACGTTCTTTTGTCAGAAGCTTACAAAAGGTGATCACATGACTCTGGGACACTGCAGTTGCCAAGCATCCAAATTTTAGTCACGTGACCATGGGGATGCTGCAGCCATTTTAAGTGTGAAAAGCAATCATAAGTCACTTCAGTGCTGTTGTAACTTTGAATGGTCACTAAATGAATGGTTGCAAGTCAAAGACTACCTGTATACCTAAAACCATAATTGGAGCAATGAATAGACTATGTATTTGGTCATCCATAGGCAAAAAAAAACTATGTATATATTTGAAATATATGGAATGGTGGTTGCTCTGCCTCCAAGGCTAACTCACCTTTATTTAGGTCATAAATATTGATGGGTGGAGGAAGAATCTGGATTTTTACTTCCTGTGGCTCATCAAGGAATTAACTCGTTGGCCTGTTCTTAACAGATCTGTCTCTGCTACCAAGCTGATGATATAAAGGTGAAGCTAGATGGACAGGAAATCAGCTTCCCCAATCGTCTTGGCCTGAATACTGCCCAGTACTTCTCAGTGGATGGAGATATGAGTCTTCTGTCTTTCAAGTGTTGATGAAACGTAGTCTTACTTCCACCCTGTGGATTTCTTGACTAAGATAAAAAAGCAAATAAATAAGTCATTTGACTTCTGTCTCAGTTTCTTTTTTACTCCTTTTAAAATAATTATATAAAAATAAGACATTAATATTATTATAAAATGTATACATTGTCAAAAAGAAAATACTTTAAAAAAGTGAAATACAACAGAAAATGTATAACAATATCCATATTATTCTAAATATGTTTATCTAATCCAGTGGTTCTCAACCTTTCTAATGCCGCGACCCCATAATACAGTTCCCTATGTTGTGGTGACCCCCAACCACTTATACATCATCGGGTGCCAGGGGCATGGCCAAAGAAAAGGGGAAAAAATGGCGGACAGCCTTGTTTGGCGACCCCCGTGAAATGGTCGTTCGACCCCAAATGGGGTCCCGACCCACAGGTTGAGAACCACTGATTATCCAAATATTCAAGTCTATATATTTCTTATACATACCTAAATCTATCTATCTATCTATCTATCTATCTATCTATCTATCTATCTATCTATCTATCTATCATCTATCTATCATCTATCTATCATATCTATCTTGTTGTGTTTTATATAAATGAGTTCCATATTTCATATATTTGTCTATATAAGGTCTACATCTATAACCAGTCATCCCAAAAGTGCTTTTTCAAGATGGAACTGGACTTTCTGGTTTTTTCCTTGAAGATTTTTCGCTTCTCATCCAAGAAGCTTCTTCAGTTCTGAGTGGATGGTGGGTAATGGAAGGATTTATACTCCTTGCAGACAGCTGGTCATTTGCATTCTTTACAGCTGCCTGCAGGGAGTATAAATCCTTCCTCAGTCATGACCTGGATGACTGAGAATCTCCATAGACAGCTCGTAACAAGCTGGTGCAATCAGGTCTTCAATCCATTGAGTTAATGGGACAATTTTTTTCAATATTAAAAATCAGGTTTTTTGGCCATATATAAGGGCATATAGAATTCATTTGCGTTATCCAGTTGTCAAATTCTATGTGCCACACATATAGCTCAAGAGAAAATTATCCTCTGAATATTTTAGTTATTAGTATCCTGCCTTTATTATTTTTACAAACAATTTAAAGGCAGCAAACAGATTTTAGATATCTTCCTCCTCCTATTTTCCACATAACAACAGTCTTGTGAGGTAGGTTGGGCTGAGAGAAAGTGACTGGCCCAAATTACCCAGCTGGTTTTCATGGCTAACTCACAGTCTCTTGCTTTCTAGCCTGGTGCCTTAAGTACTAGACCAGTGTTTCTCAACCTTGACAATTTTAAGGCATGTGGACTTCAACTCCCAGAATTCCACAGCCAGCATTGCTGGCTGTGGAATTCTGGGAGTTGAAGTCCACATGCCTTAAAATTGTCAAGGTTGAGAAACACTGTACTAGACCAAACTATCTTTTTTATCATTTGTCACTCAATCAAATTTATATAACTGACTGCTTTCCCCACAAACCTAGCAAGAATAAGACACTGTAAAAACAGGTTTTTGAAAGAAGCATTATCCTTATTATATCTCTAATAAAATGCTGCTTCTGACAACCCTTTTCCATGCAAACTAAATGAAGTCCAAAAATTCTAAATACTATTTTGCTTTATTTTACAAGTCATAATGTAAGGCCCACTGACACTCTTGTTATAGGTATCCTCGACTTACCATTACAAATGGAACCAGAATCTCAATCATTGAGCAAAGCGATTGTTAAGCGATTGTGCAAGGGCACTGGAGGGGTGGGGAGCTGAAAGCCCTGAAAACTGTCACAGGCCAGGAGGCTTCCACTGACTACAGGGCCTACTGAAGGCCAAGTGGGATGGACTTTGTAATACCTGAAATAGTGAAAATCTCAGGTTGGAATTAGGGAAGTTTGTTAAAGGAATTGCAGAGGCAGAATGCTGCAACTGAGATAAGTGTAGCAAAACCAATAAGGAATGGTAGGACTAGCAACAAGAAATTTTACAAGAAAGTTGCAAGCTAGAAGGATGCTAAGGCACGGGGATATATAAACTTTGGTAACCTGTAGCTTATTATAATAATAAAACACCCCTCCTGCTTTTTGATAAGAAAGCTTATTAGCAGAAACATGCAATGTATGAAGAAAGAGGGTAAAGTAGAAGAATCCAATCAAAAGAAACATGTGTCAAGGAACCAATGTGTGATTTTTAGGGTGTTAACTTCCTTAATCATAACTGTGTAAAATTTGTATTTGTGTGTTTTGGGGGGTCTCGGCTCCTTTAGCTGCTAAGACTCTTTTGCTGAAGTACTCCAATATAATAAAAGTTTCTTGAACTACCTCTCAATGTCTGGCTTTGATTGGCATTTGTGCCAGACTAAACCTGGTTTGCACACAACAATATGGTTTTTGTACTGTTGTACTGGCTAACTAACATGGTTTTTATTTTAAATTTGCCTTTGTCAAATGCACTGCTAATAATTAGCCATAAGCCTGCCCTCACTACTGGCACACCGAAACCTGCCACAGGCCTGAAGCCCAGGCCCTCTCCTCAACCTTTCATCCTTCTAGCCTCTAGGAAGATCCTGTTCGCTATCTTACTAGCTGCACCTCAAATCATCTGGGTGTGCCTGTCAGCAGCTGCAGAAAAAAGGCAAAGGTAAGTGGATCCAGGTGTGGTAGGATGGGCAGAGGACTTCGGTCTCTTAGCCCTGGTGGGGTGGGGAAAACTAGAAGACACTGAAGAACCTTGAATAATTTTTTCTAAACACAGAATTTGTTTTCTGAAAATACTTTCCTGATATAGAAACTAGTACGGCTCTCAGAATTAAGAGCCATTTAGGATGGACTTTGTAATACTTGAAATATGTAGTATTGCTGTGCTGACATGGGATTTCTTGTATTTTAAATTTGCCTTATTTCTCTTTTTCTCTCTTTTAAATGCATTGTTTAATAACTTGCCATAAGCCTTAATCTTCAAGAAGAATGTAAAAGGCCTCCCTTCTAGAAATTAGGACTTGCCCAAGGGTAAAAATGTGTAAGAATGTAAATTCTTCACTTTGTTTATTAGTCCTCTGTTGAAAATACTTTAATGGATAGTATGCTAAAATGTATTATAAATAAAATGCATATTACTGCTCCTTGTTTCCCCAGCCCTGAGATCAAAGTGGTGCACAGGGAGTTGTATTTATCCATTTTTGATGCTTTTCTACGTGTAAAAGGGTTCCTATTGATTTTCTAGCCAATTACTGATTTAATGGATACCTATATAACTTAGAGCATAGGAAGTTGTTTTATGAAGCCATCAGATGATTGTCTTGATTTTCATTAAGTAAAATGGATGCAAAGCCTTTGCAGGCAGTCTTTTATTTCTCATGAAATTGTCTAGAGTCAAATTCAACATTAAAGAAACTTTGCCTTTATTTGTACAATTTAATCATCAGAGACTGCCATCTACTGGGACGGTTTTAAAAATATGATCAAGTAAAAAGCTTCCCTCAAAAGGATCAAATCTGTGAAAAGAACAGAGAACCCAACCGTATCTTAGAAACATAATTAATATAGAATATGGAACATGGTGTTCTCTGGATGGTTTAAACTTAAGTAAAGCATTTATTACTTCTGATTATTAGCCAGACCTGGAGGACCTAATTTGATTAATTGCTTTTATAGCTTGTCTTTCCTGCAGAAGTTAATGATCTCAAACAAAACACCCCTTTATTTAACAATTAATTGGGTACAATATATTAAGCTGTGATATATTTTCTTCCTCTTTCTCATATGTATATTTTCTTCCCTTTTCCTAGAAGTTCAGTGTGGTTACACTGCTACCTCTTTTATTTTATTCCCATACAAGCAAACATGTGAAAGTATGGACAGAGAGACAGAATGGGCAAAACCACCCAACTTTAGAACAGAATCCAACTTTAGAATAGAATAAAGCTGGAAGGGACCTTGGAGGTCTTCTAGTCCAGCTCAGTTTGTTTCTAAAGTACAGATAGTCCTTGATTTATGACTACAATTGAACTCAACATTTCTGTTGCAAAGACAGTTGTTAAGTGAATTATGCTGTCCAACACACTATAAAAGTGCTTATCAATCAACCAACCAACCAAAAAGGGAGAAAAGCTTAAAGCCTTCTCATGAGCTGAAATAGAAAATGAATTCTGTAGGATTCTCAACTTTTTTTTAGCTCTTATGCTATTACACACTGTATTAGAGAAAAAGGGAAATAATGTACATTATGCATATTAATTTAATGATATATTATGATCCATTATATAATCCTGTATACCCTGCATCTCACTTATAAATGTTTTACAAATATAATTCAACACTAATATTTAGTTTATTATCTGTACGACCGCAATAAGCTGGAATGGAATAAATCTATCAGTACTCTAAAATGCTGTTCACACAACATAGCTGTCTCCTTTTGCACAAAATGCATGTATCTCCTCAGACCCCTAAACCTCTCTTAAGAATCTTCAGGATCCACCTGCAAAATCCGGCAAGCAGACCCTCGCTGCGAACCTTGCAACCCTTGCCATTCGTCCAGCTTCCAAATGAAACTGAGCATGCGCCCCATGCCGGTTAGCATTGGCTGATAGATGGAGAGGACGTGTGTTGCGTAAGGGGAGTTGTAGAGGCGGGGACAGGAAACAATGATTGCCCGCTGGAATTTCTCCTCTCTAGGAGGAAAGACTCCTTTATTTTAACCCTTCGAATGACCGGCCCGTGTGGAATCGCTGAGAAATGGGCCCAAGCGTAAAGTCACGTCGTTTCTTTGCCCTCAAAACAAGTGACAGCCGTATTGGCTGTACGATAAGAAAAACCCAGCATTTAATAAAGGCGAATATTTAAAGGGACTCTAGGTGGTGGAAGAAGCTGAGAGGAGAAAAATCTAAGTTCTCTTTCCGCGTATGATGCAAGAAAGGAAAACGCACAGTGGTAGAGTTAAAATCTGCACGTGCAGCCCCGAAGAGGGGAGAGAATTCCTCCGTTTCTTAGAAAATTAAGGAAAGATCAGGTCTTTGCGAGAAGGAAGGCCATACTTTTCCCTTGCAAAGCCCCAGCGAGCAAGAAGAGGATGCTCCTTGTGACTATGAATGAAGTTGAACCCGCCCCCCCCCCCATCTCTGCATTCAGGCTTCATAATAAGATCGGCAAGTGTCCCTGAAACTGGAGGGGGGGGGGGAACCTGCCCGAATTACTTTGGCGTTTGCAGTGAAACTAACTTTTGTGGATTTGATTCAGATGCACTACATTGTTTATTCTTTCCTGCCACCAGCTTTTAATTCATAAAGTTATACAGATTGATCCCTTGATTGTCTAGCCATTAGATGGCAACAGAGAATTAAGAGTTTGTACGGTATCTCTGCCACATAGAACAATTTTTTTGATTGTCCCTGAATCTAAAAAGTTCTTTATCCATTTTTTTTTCTTCTTGTATGGATGTTTATCTCTGTGTTGACAGTGTCCATGTTCATGGAATAGGACAAGAGAAGCAATCAGGCCAGATTTTTTTTATATTTTCCAAACTCTTAACTTAATAGAGCTGGAAGGGGCCTTGGAGGTCTTCTAGTCCAACCCCCTGTTCAAGCAGGAGACTCTATACCAGTGATGGCGAACCTTTTAGAGACTGAGTGCCCAAACTGCAACCCAAAACCCATTTATGCATTCGAGTGCCAGGTGGGTGTGGTCCATTGGCTGGGTGTGGCCAATTGGGTGGGCATGGCCAATTGGGTGGGCGTGGCTGCAGTGGTAATGGCAGACTAGATTGGACTAAAATGTTCAATCAATTCCAACTTTGCAAGATTTTTTTTTCCCGCGAGAAGTTGAAATTGACTGAACCTTTTTTTTTTTTTTTTTTTTTGCACATGGTGGCGGAAGCCTAAAGCGAAAAGGTTTTATAAAACCCAGCTGAAGGCCTAGGACTGGGGTGACAGCGCGTGTGCCCACAGAGAGAGCTCTGAGTGCCGCCTCTGGCACCCGTGCCATAGGTTCACCACCACTGCCCTATACCATTTCAGACAAATAGTTGTCCAGTCTCTTCTTTAGAAACCCCTAGTTTTTTAATATCAGGGAAGACTGTTATTACCATAATAAATTGGCAATCTCCTATTAACTATTTGCAACTAGTGAATGGTATTTGAGTTCAAACACCCTGAAAACTAACCCTGAAAAATACCAACTCGTTTCACTTTTAATGTAGCTAAACAGAATTAAGCTGTTAGTTCCCTTGTTCGAATCTTGACGTCTTGGCAGCAGTCTAGCTTTGGAGTCGAACAGAGCATGTGCTCCTTCTCTGCCAAGCTGAAGAGGGAGGGCAGGAAGTGAGGTACACTATTTCCTGCGAGGAATGATGCCACTCTAGGGCAAAGCCCTCTCGTTTCATACCCTGGAGAGGAATCGGGGCTCGGGAAGTTCCTGTGGGAATAAACTGGAGTGTGATTGTAGGTTTTCTCTTTTTAAAGGAATGCATCCGTCTTGGTGGCTGCGAGGAAGCAAAATCCCCAACGATCAGATACCCACCCCCAAAATCAAAATTATCAAAATATATCAAATGTTTATTATATTTGATCGTTGGGAATATCAAAAACAATGTCCCAACGATCAAATAAAGTTCTGGAATCTGATCAAACGATCAGATTGCAGAATCTGAGCTTTAGGGATTGGATGCAGCTAGGAAGGGACATTGTTTACCAGCAGGTGCGGTGCCAGACCCCTTGCAAGAGAAATAAAATTTCTCTTATTGACTTGGGGATGGAGATTGCTGTTTAAGAGCTAAACCCACCACCTGCAGCTCAAGAGAGGCAAAGGGAAATAATTTGGAGAGCTATTCCACAGAGAGTCATCTCTAGATGCACATAAATACAGTAAGTAAATCTCCATCCATTTCTTAAGCTGCACAATCTGGTGTGTGTTTGTGTGTCTGTGTAGTGGAGGAAGCAGTTTCTTGCCCTTCAGCTTCAGAGGGCAAGTCGGAAGCCCTCCTTGTTCTTGCTCAGTTTGGCTCTGTGCTCCGCATACAGGCAACAAAAAAGTCTGGGGTAGGGGGGAATCCTCCCCCAGAACCTCAATGAACTCTGGATAATATAGTAATTATATTCCATCTGAAAACCTAGATTGCAACTAACCTAGGAATGCCTTCAAATGACCATCACTGGAATTTAATAAATTCTCACAATGTAATTGTAATCTATGCCTGCCAAATAAATTATCAAATAAGTTACTGTAGTGGCTGAACAACCAGAAGCCCTATTGTAGCCTATTCTGGTGTGTTATGCAGACCTGATCTTTGTGAAAATTTCTAAAGTGTATTCCAGTGAAATTTTGCTGTTATATTTTTTTCTCTTTTCCACTTCAGGATACCTTTGACATAGGAAGTATTTGTGGAAACAAAAATGCTTCAAAATCAAAGATGCCCTATTGAAGTTTATTCATATCCATACAATTATGGGCCCATAAATTAAAGGGGTTTTGGATGTAGCAGTTTGTAGTTCAGTTTGAAAGGCTGAGATCCTGGACCTGGTGATCCTGGAGCAATTCCTGGCCATCCTGACCCCAGGGTTGTGAAGCTGGGTGAAGGAGTGTGGAGTGGAAACCAGTTCTCAAGCAGTGGCCCTAGTTGAAGGCTGCCTCCTGAGCCAGGCTGAGGACAAGAACCAAGGAAAACTGCAGGTGAGAGCTTCTTTCACCTTAGCACTCCAAGTGGAGTATGAAGAAACAATCCTTTTGCATCCTTAAACCCTTGGCGCCATTTCTGGAGCTAACAACTCAAGGAAGGAGGTTCACTTCCTCTTTAGGCAAGCCCATTTTCCTTTTTGATAATATCTCAGGAAAAGCAGGAGCCAAGTCCTCTTTCCAGTCCAGTGATGGTTGGGATTGGAAGCTGATGCAAATGTTGGGGTACAGGTCAAGAATCTATTGCCTTTGTTATTTGTTCCTGACAGCCATTTCCAGTGCAAGTGCCATTGATAGAGGTGGTTGCTGAATGGCTCAAACCGAGTGGTGCATCTGTCTAAATCCTCCCAGGAGCTGCTGTTGGAGGTGAATTCTCCAGAGGATCAAGCTCAGGATATATCACCAAGTAAGGCAGTTCATTATGAGTGTAGTGAAGTTCCAACTCTCTGAATTGATATTAGATTATTCATGAATTCTTTTACTACTAAATCTTAAGCTTGTGGGGAAGAATGGGATTTGAATGTAGTGTTCCTGCAAAATGTATTAATAATTTTTAATACATCTGCTTCTTTTGCCATCTTTGACTCATTCTTAGAGAGTAGAACAACATCTCTGAATCTTCTAGAAACATCTCCTCTTAATTCATGTTGAAGCAGAAACTGCAAGTACAGTCCCAGTTCAGGTAGGACAAGATTTTCTCCTTTCCCAGATTGGCAAATATTAATGCTTAAATCAGTCTGTAGACTTATCTCAGGGTCACTTATTTATTTATTTATGAGACTTATATACCGCTTTAAGTGCAAGCACTCTCTAAGCGGTGTACACCAGTAAGCAATGTATATATATTTACATTGCCCCCAACAATCTGGGTCCTCATTTTACCTACCCCGGAAGGATGGAAGGCTGAGTCAACCTTGAGCCGGTGAGATTTGAACCGCTGACCTGCTGAACACAGTCAGCTAAAGTGGCCCGCAGTACTGCACTCTAACTGCTGCGCCACCTCGGCTCATTCACTCCATCTTTTCAACCATTTCTGGGATTGCTTTAATTCAGTTAATTCTAATCCAGTGAGTGATTCAGAGCATGACCCACATCTTTGGAACTCAGAGCAGACTATGGTTTTCGTGCTTATCATCTGGATATTCTGAGTTTCCCATTCCCTTTTCTGAATGATCTATCAGCAGCGTCACCAGTTTTTCAGAAAGGATATCAGCTATTTCTGATGACCATCAGAGCCTCTGATTAGAATGACAAATAAGTGTCCCCTTTTGATGGAAGCATTTGACTACAAAGGTGTGAAATTCATATTTATGACCATTGCTGTGTCCCAAGATCATGCGATCCCCTTTTGCAACTGTCTGAAAAGCAAAGTCAACAGGGAAGCCAATTTCACTTAATAAATGTGTTACTAACTGATCAACTGCAGTGATTCACTTAACAACTGAGGCAAGAAAGGTTGTAAAATGGAGCCAAAATCACAACAAATGTCTCACTTAACAACAAAAAGTTTGGGCTCAATTGTGGTCGTAAGTCGAGGACTACCTGTATACGTATTTTTCAACTTACTACCACAATTGGGACCAGAATTTCTGTTAGTAAGCAAGATGGTTTTTTTAAGTGAGTTGTGCCTGATTTTAATGACCTTTTTTTGCTATGGTTGTTAAGCAAATCAATGCAGTTGTTAAGTGATTCACACGGTCATTAAGCAAATCCAGCTTCCTGTATTGATTATGCTTGTCAGAAACCAGCTGAGAAGGTTGCAAATGGCAATCCCATGATACTGCAACTCATAAATACAGGCTGATTGCCAGGTGCCTGAAGGCTGCAACGGCTTTAAGTGCAAGGACCAATTGTAAGTCACTTTTTTCAGTGCTGTTGTAACTTCAAATGGTCACTAAACGAATAGTTGTAAGTCGAGGGCTACCTGTAAATCAGAAATACACTGGTTTCTTGACAGTGTAATCTGCCCTTCATGTTTGGATGTTATGATGAAGCCTAAGAACCTGAGGTAAATTTATATAAGTAAAAGTATATCCAATATTTTTCCCAATTGTATTTTTTAGGAGCAAAGTGATAGCAATGTTCAGTAGTAATACTGTTCTTAGTGTATGTGGAAAAAGGATTGTTTAATCTAGAAGACTATTGGAGTTGTGTTTTTAAGATGGACAACAACATAAACCATTTAAATAAATGCATAACTAAAACTAGCTAAGAAAGAATGTGCAGGGTTTTGGTTTTTTCCAGCACATTTTGTAACGGCTGTAGAAGAGGACACACTATCTTAAGTCTCGAAGTTGTCTTGTTTTTCTTCTATTGTCTGATCGGTCAGGATGTGATATATGTTGGTATGTAACAATAAATGGGATGTTAGATGAATTAAATAATCAAATTGGCATATTACTGTGAGCAAGGAGGCTCTGGGTTATATTTGAAAACAATTTATGTAAGCAGAGATTCAGCCATAGTTTCATTTCATACAACATTAACCTTGTGAACTCTCAGGCTTCCTCCTTCCTTATATATTCGAGATGGACAGTATTTAATATTTATTTGTTATGTATATGTAGGGGTGTGGGTCTATACATATGTTGTACATAGTATGTTTAGATATGTGTCATGTATATGTTTCACTTTTGAGAGCGGGCAACTAAATTTCATTTTTGATGTGTGCCATTGTGCCCACAGTAAAAAAAATGACAATAAAGGTTATCTATCTATCTATCTATCTATCTATCTATCTATCTATCTATCTATCTATCTATCTATCTATCTTCCCTACAAAATCTTCAAGTTTTCAATAGTGTCCTGTCTGTTCCTACCCACTAGGTGGCCCCAGACTACATCACCAGTGAAATATTTCAGATTTTCCCCATCAGTTAATATTAGAGCAGCTAAGGACAGTTTTGAGCTACCTCAGATATCAGAACCCCTAAGAGGACTTCAAACTGTCTCAAGTGCAAGTTGGATAAGAGATGAAGGCAGCATCATGACAATATGACCGAAAAAAAGTAATCAAGACATATTTATGCAATGACTTAACAGCACGTGGGAAAAATTCAAAATTTGTATTTTCAACCAAAAATTTAAAAATGGCCATAAAAAATTAACAGTGTTTAATAAATAACAGTGTTGCTCCTGTATTGTTCTCCGTGTTCAACTATACCAAGGGACAACTTCTTACCCCTTTCAATTCTCAGTGTCCTTTCTACTAATAGTGGAAAGAACACTAGGAATTAAAAGGGCCCAGAAGTTGTCTCTTTAATGCAGACATGTCAAACAGAAGGCCCGGGGGCCAGATGCGGCCTGCGAAGTGGTTTCATGTGGCCTGCGAAGCCATCCTGGAAACAGTGAGGGAACAGCCCCCACTGCCTTGGCCCTGGCCCAGGCTAGCCAGGAGCCAATGTACAATTTTGTGGTGGCCATCTATGCTGAAATGCATTCAGTCTTAGTTCCATAACCCCCCCCCCCCCCCAGCATGGCCTGAGAGGAACAGTGAGGCTCCTCCAATGGACCATGCCTTGGCACTTGCCCTGGTCCCACCCCCTTCTGCCAGAGACCCTCAGATCTGTTCCACTCCTGCCCAGGCCCCCACAGGGACCCTTGACGCGAACGATGTAGAGCTGGCCACACCCACTCCATCCACGCCCACCCAGTAGGCCACACCCACCCGGCCCCCTGAGGGCAACTGCAATGCTGATGCGGCCCTCAGTGAAATTGAGTTTGACACCCTTGCTTTAATGTATCAGGCTTTCTAGAATAGAATAACGGAGTTGGAAAGGACCTTGCAGGTCTTCTAATCCAACCCCCTTTTCAGGCAGGAAACCCTATACCAGTAATGGCGAACCTTTTAGATTCCGAGTACCCAAAAACTGGCCCCACCCCCACTCCACCTCCTTCTCTGCCCCCACCCCACCTGCCCACAGGGCCACTCACTGCCTCTAGGGCCTGCTGCAGATTGCCCAAGCAGTCCAGCAGTGCCATGGTGGCCACGCCCTCTGCCCGTACCCTGCAGCATCCTATGCACGATGGAGCGTGAGGGCAGAGTCTTATCTACGCTGCCTGGCTGTCATGTTCTTGGCTGTGCTGCTCCGCATGGGCCACACTCAGGGGCGACTCTCCCCCAGGGGGGTTGCTGGTGAAGAGGGGGGTCACGGGGGAGGCAAGGCTGGGGCAATGGCACCTGTGCCCATAGAGAGGGCTCTGAGTGCCACCTCTGGCACATGTGCCATAGGTTCGCCACCACTGCTATAATATTTCTAAATTTTGTATCTCATCTTGCAAAATTCAGAAAAAAATAAGAATTCGTTAGCCATGACAAAGCCTCTCCTTCCCCTGTTCTATTGGTAGCCATTAAATCCTTAAAGCTAAAATTAACATTCCTTTGCCATTAAGTAATATTTACTTAAAATATTACTAGAGGACTTCTGGTAGATCCTTGGACGAGGCCTACCAAACTAAAGCTCAATTAAAAAAAACATGAAGGTACTATCAGTTAAGTGGTTTCTTGGTTCAGATGGGTGGCTTTAGTTGGGGAGATGCTGGTAGTTAGGTTAATAAATCATTAGTGATCTAAATAACTCCTGTAATATGGAGTGTTTTTTAAACCAGTTTGGTGAGCATTCTAGTTATGTCTATATTTGGAGAAAATTTCTTGGATGTAATCATGTTCGAAACTGCCATTAGGATTATTATAATATATAGTCTTACCTTGAAAGCAGACTCATGGGGAAATAAATGAATAAATACAAGGCACAGAAAGAGTATTAGCTGAAAATAGATTTCGTTGCTGTATTTTAAGCTAAAGAGATTGGAGAGTAACAAGGTCACAACAACATATTTTTTATGTTGGAAAAGGAACCTTACAGCACCAAGCAGCAGCAGGCAGGCAAGTAGGCTCTCTGCTTTTAACCTAGATTAAACCAACTTACTGTTTTAATTTTCTTAATTTTAATTTTTAATTTTTCTTAATTTTAAATCTCTTACATTTTTGAAACTTTATGTAGTGTGGTCACTAATCCACTTAATCCACTCTATATTTCAGCTACGGGTTAACTATATTTTAGCTGTATTTTTGATATCCCGAGCTGGGCTTCAGCTGTGGGAATGCCTTGCTGCTGCTTTTTGTTGTTGTTATATAGGTTTTTCTGCTTTGTCAGGAAACCTAGTATTCTCTAGTTTTGAGTGATTTTTATTCGATCTATTTATTTACCTACTACTTTTTACCATTTTTCTTTTTACTATTTTCTTTTTACTATTTTACTATTTTGTGATTTTTATTCACTCCCTACTCCCTGCTTTGGCGGGAGGGTAGGATTCTTGCCTTACTTGTGAGGAGCCTTGTTATTGTTTGCATCGGGACTTGCTTTTTCTTGACTCTTGGCCCTTGGCTTCTTTTTTTGAATCCAGGACTTGTCTTGGGGATTAGTCTCTTGTTATATTACACTGCTCCTCCTTTATTGTGTTATTTAACACAATGAAGTCAAAGAAAAGGTGCAGATCCCTTACTGACCTGGTTCCTCAACCTTCTTTGAAGCAATCCAAGATGGAAGACTTTGTTTTGTCTCGTCCCTTTTGTTTGAAAACTCCAGCTCCTTTTTTTCTGGCTGCTGCCGGTCATGGCGATCCTTCAGTGGTTGAGGATGTCGCCCCTCGAGTTGAGAACAAAGGCTTCCCTAAAGCTATGGTCCCCAATCAATCTTCAAACGAGCCCACCCTTACAGAACTTCTGGCTCAGCAATGTTTCCTGGTTGCAGGTACAACAGCGAACAACAGCTCCAGCTTGATAAAATAAAATAACTAAATTATTTAGTTTCTTGGTTTGCCAGTGGTTGTGCTGGGCTGGCTGCTTGACATCCCAATGCGCTAGCAGGGCCTCCCTTGTCAAGCCCCAGCAAAAGATCTGCTCAATGTAACCCTATCAACAGTTCAAACTCTATTTCCCTAGATGCAAACAGTCACCTGGTTTTACAGCCAAAACAGGTGGCTCTAAATATCAATCCTATTAACTGCTACTTGCTGCGCTGGGGCTCAATACGGCTGGCAAGGGGTTGGAAGCTGAATTTTTACCCTCCTCTACAGTATATACTGCACTCGAGTGTTACTTAGTTTTGACAATTCTAACACCCCTAAACTATTCTTCAGGAAAAGATCTCTATTAAGGTCTTTCGGCATTTTGCCAAGAAGAGTCTTCAAAGATATGTCGACTAAGCATCTTTTAAGTAATCAACCACCTTTGAGTGTTAGGAGATTTACTGCTCCTAAAAGATCTTCAGTAGCACATGTTAATGTGCCAACCTTGAACGTCACCTCTGATGTTAGTCCATCTACTAAATATACATCTATGCTTGTAAAATCTCCTGATGGTGCCCTCTCTGATGGGGTTTTGACTGATCTTCCTACTGTCAATCAAACTAACCCCCCTCAGCGAGTAACATCTCATCAGGATCCTTGCCTTGACTTGATCAGCTGGGAAGAAATGGCCTCAAAGGAAGCGACATCAGCCCAGGGTATTCAAGGCTTCTTAGCGAATAAACCCCAGGCCAGTGACTCTGGGATTTCATCTATTCATGTGACTGACTTATCTCAAGATAATTTCTGGAACCAGGAGAAGATACAGCTCTTCGACTACTTTCATGCGTTCCCACATTCAGAAAAGGCCCAAATTATTAAGCGTCTGGCTGCAGTTAAAGCCAGGCTTTGGAGTCTCTCACTATCTGATAAGGATTTCCCTGGATTCCAGGGAGCCCATACCGATTCATCAGTGGAAGTTCCCCTGGCCCTTTTTCCAGGATGTCTAACTCAACAATATGAAGATCTTGGGCTCCCTCAGACCCCGTCTGCTGATGCCACTGAATGCTTGCCAGCCAAGCATCCAACTAATGCTACAAGTACGAACTGGAGTGCATTTAGAATTCTACAGCCCCATGAACAAGGTTCGCCTCCCTTCCCCCCTTCCCTGCCTTTATCTCCCATGAGGGTGATACTGCCTTTTAATAACGGGTGTATCTTTTTGGACCAGAAGGGCTCCCTTGAAAAAATCAATTATATAGAAAGTCTATCAAATTTGGCAACCCCCCTCTGTACTCTTAAATGTCTTTTGCGGAACATAGCAGGTTGGGGGAGAAGGTGTGGTACTATAGAATTTATCAACTATATTCAGGCATTTGATGTGGTTCTGCTTCAGGAGACTTGGGCATGTGATAAGATATCCCTTACAGAGTTTATGGCCATTTTCTTGACCACCATCAAACAATCGGTGACAGGAAGACCCAAGGGTGGCTTGGCTTGTTTGGTCTCTACCTCTTAAAGGTGGAGACAGTGGAGCTGTCCCCCTGTGGCTCTTTAGCTATGACGCTCCTAATTAAGAGAGGACACAGAAAATTGCTAGTGTTTAATGTCTACCTTCCTCCAATGGTGAGGCAAGCTGACATTAAGGCTCAATTGGATGATCTGGAGAACTATATTACTTGTATTGAAACTAAATTTCCAGGGCTATACACACTTATAGGGGGCGACTTTAATGCCCGACTGGGAGTCCAAGTCCCTCCATCGATTGAGGCACTTTACTCCCAAGAAATCCTTCAGGCAATAGGTCATCAGATGTCAGCTAGACATTCTAAGGATGAACTAACAAATTTTGCTGGTATTCAGTTAGCACTTTTAGCATCCCAACATGACAAGATAATCCTTAACGGGAGTACCCCAGGCAATCTAGTTGGTGAGTTTACTTTTAGTTCCTCACGTGGGAGTAGCATTATTGATTTTGTGCTGGTTTCTCAGTCACTAAGAAAGGCAGTCCATGCTTTCTATGTGGAGTGCCACACGGAGAGCGATCATTACCCCCTGGTTACAATTATTGGGCTTTCCTCAAATATACACTTATCTAAAGGCCCCCAGATATTGGATCCCCATGCGGCCTTCTATATAAAGAGGATCAAATGGTCTTCTAATACCAAAAGAAAGTTCCACTCCTTTTTATCATCTCCGGAATGTCTCAGCCTTTATAATAAGGTTCTAACAAGTAGTGGCTCAGAGACAATCTTGGCCTATGAATCACTAATTAATAGTGTTCAAAGGGAGTTAGGAGCTGATTGTAGGCCAAGGGGTCCATATCACTTAAGAAGCAATTCCTGGTTTGATAAAGAATGTCTGATGCTTAGGAACCAGATTAACTGGGCTTACTTGCTTTACCGTAACTGAGGGGACAAACGCCCACCAGAGGACTATTACCACCTGAAGAGGGAGTATAAAGGGCTAATTGTTAAGAAAAAGAGGGCTAAAGAGAGAGAGAAGTGGGATTTACTTCTCTGTCCAGCAGAAGAATACCCAACTATTTTGGCAAATTGTTGCCAGCTCTCTCCCTGGTTACCAAGAACTCCCTCTCTGCTATACTGGGAAAATCATTTTTTGTCAATTTTTCAGGCTTCAATAACTTCGACCGAGCTTGGATCACAACTGCCTCTTGCAATTCCTATATGGCAACCTGTGACTCATGCTGAAATCGCTGAGCTTATCTCAGAACTTAAGTCAGGCAAAGCCCCTAGCCCCGATGCTATACCCCCCATTTTGTTAAAATCTAATCCCGAGTGGTGGATTCCTCTTTTGGCAACACTTTTTACCCATATTAATTCCTCTGGTAGGATTCCTATCTCTTGGAGTTTCGCAATTATTATTCCAGTTTTTAAACAAGGAAACAGGAACAACCGTGCCGATTATCGCCCTATAAGCCTGCTTTCCATCATTGGGAAATTGTATGCTAAATATCTTCAACGTACTCCTCATTTGGGTTGAGGAGTCTAACATTATTGGTGCAGAGCAGATTGGGTTTAAAGTGGGCTGTGCCACATTGGACCACTGTTTTATCTTAGCAATCTGTTCACAAATACGCTATTACACCAGGTGGCGAACTCTTTACTGCTTTTATCAATTTAAAGGCAGCGTTTGACTCAGTCCTTAGCGAACTGTTGTGGTCAAAATTGCACAAAAGTTCTATTGACAGACGTCTTTTGTTCCTAATTAGATCTTTGTATAATCAGACCTCTAGCCAGGTTAGGTGTGGCTTGCAGGGAGAACTTTCAAATCCTATCCCGATTGAGAGTGGAGTTTATTTATTTATTTATTTATGAGACTTATATACCGCTTTAAGTGCAAGCACTCTCCAAGCAGTGTACACCAGTAAGCAATGTATATATATATTTACATTGCCCCCAACAATCTGGGTCCTCATTTTACCTACCCCGGAAGGATGGAAGGCTGAGTCAACCTTGAGCCGGTGAGATTTGAACCTCTGACCTGCTGAACACAGTCAGCTAAAGTGGCCTGCAGTACTGCACTCTAAATGCTGCGCCACCTCGGCTCTTAGGCAGGGATGTGTCCTGGCCCCTCTTCTGTTTAATTTATTCTTATCCAACCTGGCCTCTTACATTGCACGCATTGAGTCCCATGCTCCAAAGTTGTTAAATACAAAGATTCCGCTTCTTCTTTATTCTGATGATGCGGTCCTTCTATCACAATCAAGGCTCGGTCTAAAAAGATTACTTTCTGCATTTGGGCCCTACTGTGCTGAGAACCATTTGTTTATTAATTATGACAAATCCAAAGTATTGGTGTTCTCTAGAGCACGAAAATCATACAACTGGGCTATCAATGGTAATGTTGTTAGGCAGGTTTTCCATTTTAAGTATTTAGGTATTCAATTTCAGAATACTGATGCTTGGACTAAACATCGAACCCAGGTGCTGAATTCGGCCTCTTGTAGCCATCAGCAGATTATAAGATTCTTTTTTACCCAAGGAGGCCAGTTTACTCCTTCTGCTCTGCGTATATATAAAGCCAAACCCTGGCCCAAACTCTTTATGGAATTCCCATATGGATATGAGGCTTCAAGGATTGTATTGAAAGAACCCAGGCTGTTTTTCTTAGGAAACTTCTGGGTCTTCCTCCCTGTGTTAGATTTGCTTCGATGTACCTGGAACTGGGCATTCGTTCAGTCAAATGCATGGTGTAGATCAACACCTTTAAATGGTGGTTTCGGGTGCTCTTTTCGGCAGTCCCTGGTAGCTACCTCTCCCTGGTGTTTGCTGACTCTCATACTTCTCATTGGGAGAGGAAGCTGACAAAGAAACTCCACTTGCTAGGTTTTACGGGGGATGCTCTGGGAGATTATGGTATCAAGGACGCCCAGTTTAGGGTAGTCCAGCAGCTTATGGACATAGATTTCCATTACTTAAGAGCCAGAGCCAACAAAACCTGCTCCCCTTTGATCTTCAGCCATTCTAATGATTATGGATTGAGGATGGCTTCATATTTCTATACTCTAACCATCCCCAAGTATAGAAGAGTCTTTTCCCTAGCCCGTTTCAATGTCTTGCCCTCAGCACTACTCGACGGGCGATTCAAGAGGCTCCTGTTTAGTGAGCGACTATGCCCCTGTGATAGGGCTGAAGTTGAAACTGTAGAGCATGTCTTATCATACTGCCCTATGTATAACACAGCCAGAATCAAATTATTGTCTCTCTTTGGAATTGATCCCTCTGGTTCTAATGTTAGTAATTTGGTCTTATATTGTCTAGGGCAGTGGTTCTCAACCTGTGGGTTGGGACTCCATTTAGGGTCGAACGAGCATTTCACGGGGGTCACCAAACAATGCAGTCCGCCATTTTTTCCCCTTTTCCTTAGCTGTGCTACTCCCTTTTATTCTATTGGCTTTTGAAAGCCAATAGAATAGACTCTCTTGAATAGAGTCTAATTCTATTGGCTTTCAAAAGCCAATAGGAATTGTCCAGGCTGTCTCTGCCCTGCTGAGCCCGCCAAAAGTCCCATTCTGCAAACGGTACTGCATCAGTTGAGTAGTCCTCGACTTACGACCGGTTGGGGGTCACAGCATTAAAAAGGTTGAGAACCACTGGTCTCAATATAGGGGATGGCTCCTATATTACTTCTCAGGTTTCTAAATTTCTTTTAAGAGTTGTAACTATTACAGGAGAACATTGTAATTCCCTTTAGCTAAGGCTTCTGGTGTTAAATGTTTGTGATTATATTTTTCTTGTGTTTTCTTTTGTTGTACTTGCATTTTGGTCTGTGACCGCAAAATAAATAATTAATTAATTATTTTTTAAAAAATAAAAGTAATATTTACTACTCTTTTCAAAGTTTATATTTATAGTATATTTTATGATATTTCTGTAATTTTCAGCAGTAGGAGGCTCATGTTTTACTTGTCAATATTAAAAATTATAGCATATAAAGTTTTTATGTTCATATAAGCTGTCACAGATATTAATCCTTTTATGGTGAAATGGTACACTAGTTTCATACTATGAATATTAATTTAATTATTTTTAGTAGTTTCCTATTATTCTATAAGTACTGATTAGATAATATCATTGGTGCAGACCAAGAGAACTACTTCAGTAAACTATATAAAATGATAGACTCAATCGTGCTGGATAATGGGCTCCTCACATTGGGTGGCTACTCAACAAGCATTTGAAGAACAGGTGAGAATTTTGACCTTTCTGCTTTTACTGCTTTTCCTGAGCTATCTTCTGATTACCTGGCTAGTTCCAAACTTTCTTACTTTCTTCTTTCCCTCTTCACTTTTCTTCTTTATTCTTAGCCTTTCCAGGTAAACCAGACAGGAAACCAAAGCAGATGAGCTAATTCTACTTTACTGCAAAGTTATATTAACACAACCTTGTAAATCTGAAGGCATAAATAGGACACAAATACTGTCTACTCCAAGGGTTTCCAAACTCTTCAGTCCATTGACTCATCTATGGAGATTCTCAATCATCCAGATCTTGGTTGTCTCAAAGGTGCTTTTTCATGAGGCAACTGGACTTTCTTTTTTCTCTTTGAAAATGTTTTGCTTTCATCCAAGAAGCTTCTTCAACTCCGACTGGATGGTGGGAAATGGAAGGATTTATACTCCTTGCAGACAGATGGTCATTTGCATTCTTTTAGAGAGTTGTTGATGCCATCTGGAGGTTTATATGTGTCACCAGGGTCACCTGAGTAGTGCAAATGGGTATGGAGCCTTTTTGGAACTGCTGAAAGGACTGTGTTGTAAATTGAAGACAGATGATGTTGTATCCCTCTCTTTATGTTGAGAGAGGGCTGTTCAGTTTTGACATAGATGGCCTCTTTGACCTCTCTTTCAAACCAGCAGTCCTCTCTGTCCAACATTTTGGACTTTCACTGATCTACTAATTTAGTCACTTTGTCAAAAATGCAATAAGATTTGTCTGGCACAATCTATTTTTGACAAATCCATGTTGACTTCTGATTATAACTTTGCTTTCCATCAGGTGTTCATGGATTCATTTTTTATTATATTTTCCAGGATCTATTTGTGGAACACAGTGGCTATAACATTATGAAACACATAGTTGACCTGTTGCAGCTCTTTTGAGTGAGTATACCTGAGATAAATCTTTATTCTCTGTGCATGGGAAGGCTATTTTAGATTAAATTCAATTTGGGTATATTCAAAAAAAGCGGATTGGGGTGGGGAGAAAGGCTGCAGGTTTGAACAAGCATATTGGCAATAAGCTGTAGACATCTTAGACCTAATCCATCTCATTTTATATGAACTTCCAGAATATAATAGAGTCTTACATCTGCAGGCTTATTGTTGTAAGCCTGGCAGAATTATTTTAAGATGGGTGACTATGTAAACCTTTTAAAATAAATAAATAATTTAAGCAAATAAACTATGTTTAGCCATGAAATTTTCTTGAGAAATGAGAATTGCACAATATCACATTATTTTCATGAGAAACCTATACATAAGACAGGAAGCCAAACTTTGAACAGAACAAGGTAAAACAGAATGATGCCAGGATGGTAAAGAAGTGAGACAAGACAATATACTTTGTTCTTATTTATTCATTCTGTGTGCTGAAATGGTATTAAGGGAATTTGAATTAGAAGAGGAGAAACGAGGTTCTACATTAGTGGAACAAACTTCGACAACCTTCTCTATGTTAGCACACTATATTTTTCAAATAAACAATCAGATTGGCTCAGATGATGTGCAGACAAAAGTCAAGGCAGCAAATAACTAATTGCCCAGGTAGAGGAAAAAGGTTCAACCCATGACATGAAAAGAAAGAAAAGAAAACACATCAGAACTTCGTCAACGGTTAACAAAAGTTTGTTGTCTCTTCTAATGATTAGATAAAGCAAAGGAGTTCTATAATGCTCTCTTAATTGGTTTCAGAAAAAATATGGTTAGTCATATTTTATTATTCTTCCTAAATATGGATTGGGATAAAATAAAGTAATTATTCAAAAGAAAATGACTTCTTACAAACGTTTAATATATGTTACTGTATCAGTCATAATTGAATGTTCACATGATAGACAGTTCTTAGAACATATAACAAAGATTTTACTTTCAATGTATCCTATTTTATCTTAACAATAATTTGGGTAAAAAAGACCTTCCAAGCTCAAGAGCCCTCATTGGTTTTTATCATTAGATGCTCCTTAGTGTTCATGTCAGGTCTCAGAATAAGGATGTAACATTTGGGGACAAAAATACAGCCCAATAAACCCAGGCCGGAGGCCAAGATGGAGAAGTTCTGTACAGCCACCATGTATTTCCCTTTAGTGCTCAGGTAGGTAGGGACAAAGGAGACCCAAACACTGCAGAAAACCAGCATGCTGAAGGTGATCCACTTGGCTTCATTGAAAGTCCCCGGAAGTTTGCGTGCCAGGAAAGCCACGAAGAAGCAGATGGCAGCCAGAAAGCTCATGTAGCCAAGGGCAGTGTAGAACATGGTGATTGAGCCTTCATTACATTGCAGGAGGATCTCTCCTGGTTGAGAATGCATGTCAGAATGTGGAAATGGGGGAGAGATTCCCAACCATGTAGTGCAGATACCAACCTGAACCCCAGAGCAGGACAATACAATGGAGTTGGCCAGACTTTTCCCCAACCATTTCCTCATCCTGCTGCCTGGCTTTGTGGCCAAAAATGCCACCACCACCATGATAGTCTTGGCCAGCAAGGAAGAGACAGCAACTGAGAAAACCACACTGAAGGTGATTTGTTGAAGAAGGCAAGTCACTTTCTTGGGCTGACCAATGAATAAAAGGGAGGTCAAGAAGGAAAGCAGGAGAGAGACCAAGAGAATGTAGGTGAGATCCCGATTGTTAGCTTTGACTATGGGGGTTTCTTGATATTTAATGAAGATTCCTAGAACTAAGGCAGTGTTTAGAGAGAGAAAAAAGGCAGCGATAGCCAGGATGAGACCTAATATTTCTTTATAGGACAGGAAAGTCTCAACTTTGGGAACACACTGATCTCGCTTCTTGTTGGAATACTCTTCATCTGGACACTTTTCACAATGTGCTGCATCTGTAAAACATGAATTGCTCTTTATCTAGTGATTCAGTGATTTTCTACACCTCATGACCAGCTGACCAGAAGCAGGGTGTAACTAGAGCAATGAAGTTTTGAAGGTTTTTTAATCTGTTTTACTGCTGGAATAATGAAATATAGAGGAAAAATGATCTATCTTGAAGAGTGACAATTGAATAACACACATAAATAATTACTAAGCATGAATAAAGTGATTATAGAAAAACATTGCTATCATCCTTCTCTTTATTTGCCCAAATCTTAAGTTATGTGTATGTATATCCATAGCCCCTGTGTTCATATGTCTGTGTTTTGTTTAAACAATTCTTGATAGCATATATTTGAATACTTTCATCTATTAGTTTCATTATTTTCATTTCTGTCTTTCTAAAAACCATGTCCCAAAGGTCTACATTTGCTTTGTAATATGCAGAATATATGGTACTCATTCTTGCTATTTCTGACATAAATACTGTAAATATTTTTCCTTCGTTGTTATGGCATTTCCAATGTTTATTGTTATATCATTTGTCTATTTTGAAATTGTTGATTTAGTTATATAATAGCAATTTCCTTAACTTATAAGTGGGAATGGAATTTTCTGAATTTTGATATTTAGTAGTTGACATTGACTTTGATATGATAAGATAAGATAAGATAAGATGAGATGAGATGAGATATATGATGTTATATAAGATATGATATAAGACAGTGGTTCTCAACCTTTCTAATGCCGCGACCCCATAATACAGTTCCCCATGTTGTGGTGACCCCCAACCACTTATACATCACCGGGTGCCAGGCGCATGGCCAAAGAAAAGGGGAAAAAAATGGCAGACAGCCTTGTTTGGCGACCCCCGTGAAATGGTCATTCGACCCCAAATGGGGTCCCGACCCACAGGTTGAGAACCACTGATATAAGATAAGATGTAAGATAAGATATAAGATATAAGATAAGATAATCTTTATTGTCATTTTTTTACTGTGGGCACACTGGGATACATTAAAAATGAAACTCTGTTGCTTGCTCTCAAAAGTGTATACATACATAACACACATATAAACATGCTATATACAATATATGCATATATCAACACCCTTACCTATAAATATATATAAATATTCATCACTGTCCATCTTGAATACATAGCAGAATGACAGGATGCTCTCTATTGTTCCTCTGTAGAAAGTGGTAAGGACATGAGAAGGAAGATGTGCTTTTCTCATGCAACGCAGAAATGCAGGCATTACTGTGACTGCTTCACCAGTGTCTTGCTGTTGTGTGACCAAGCCAGCCTAATCGTTAGCTGCACACCCAGAAATTTGATGCTAGTAACCATCTCCACAGGTGTATCATTAATACATAGAGGAGTGTGACTGTGCCTGCTTTTTCTGAAATTGACAATGATCTCTTTGGTTTTTCCAATCTTTAATGTTTTTTCAATGTTTTTCTTACACCTGTTGACCAAACCTTCAACCTCCTTGTAGTAAGCACCCTCATTGTCTTCTTGAATAAGGCCCACTACTGTTGTATCGTCCACATACTTCACGAGATGGTTGGTGGCAAACCTAGCACAACAGTCATGAGTCAACCTGTTTGTATACTTGTTTCAAATTCTGTCATCTTTCTTAAGATTCTTCCATCTTTTCCAGGACTGCTTTTGACTGTTTGAGCAATTTCTGAAAACATCCACTATGGTGAAATACCTTCACTGAACAGTTCTTGCTGTTGAAAGATTCAATCTGGATCAGTCATTGGGACCAAGGTTTAGTCTTCTGAGCTTTCAGACTCATGCTGAAGCCCATTCTCAGGGAATTTTTCTCTTATCAGAATGTGTGAGAGAAGTTCCCCAAGGTGGGCTCCAGTACAAGTGCAAAAGCTCAGAAGACTAAACCTCTGATCCTGGTGACTGACCCAGATAGGATCCTGCAACATCATCCTGGGACACGTATATTTGCCTTCATTTATGAGTTCTTCCTCTGTTTTCAGTCCCTTTCCTGAGTGTGAATGCTGTATACCTGCATATGATTAAATCTTGCTAATATAGTTGTCCCTAGAATAAAAGGCCGATGTTCCTTCTTTGTTCTTGAGCAACCTACCTTCCTGAGTGGAGATTGTTCCTTCCATACATGGAGAGCAGTCATAGCAGCAAACTGGTTCTCCCTCTCTTGTGAGCTTGGTGTATCCCGGGAAGCAACTTTTAGTACATCTAGAAAAAGGGGCCTTCTAAACAGAAAGAAAATTATGGAAATGTGTGAATGAGCAGATTCTGTCTATAAGTGGAAGTCAGTGCCAAGATGGGTTCATAAACTCAAGAAGATACTTTCAAGATCTTTTCCCAAATATAATGAAAATGCTTTTGTTTTGGTGAAAACTTTCCACTCACAGTTTCATTTCAGCAGGATATTATCCTAGGGTTCCTGCAAGGCTGATGCTATGTCTATCCAGGCATCATTATTTTTCTGGGTTTTTTCCCTGCCAATGCAAGGCAACATGCCTTTGGACTCCAGATTTACTACCATCCTATTCTCTCTCTCTCTTTTTGTAATATATTTTATTGATTTTTTTAAACAGAGTTACTTAATAATTGGTAAACAGTGTGTTGTCTGGGTTTACATTTGTAAAAGAATCACTAAAAATTGATTTCTATAGTCCATAAGCCACATAATGCTTTTAGTTGATTTTCTCTTTTCCCCAAAATGTCCTCTTTTGCAAACATTGAATTAATAAAGTTCTTATTATTTTGATAGATAACAATTAAAAAGATAATTTTTCCCCAATATTCCTAAAAATAATAATTACATCAATATAATATTTCTTTTCTAACTAATCATTCTGGTTGCCTCATCATAGATCTTGTTACAGTCCTTATTTAAATTTGTTTCTCCCACAAAATTCAAAGTATTCTTACTGGTTAAGATTTTCCCAAAAGTTATTATATTTAAAAATTTAAGTCTATTTTTTCCATATAAACCATCTCAACACTTTTGCATTTCTTAAAGAATAGACAAAATAGTAAAAAAAAGAAAGGAGAGCAAGAGTAAAGAAACATAAAAAGTAACATACTACTTAAAATATATATCCCTCCTAAGCTAATATATATTTGTTTAAAAAATTTCTTATTCTTTTTAACCATAATTAAAAATATGTTTAATCTTTAAATATAACATTTAATGTGTCTAGTCATCTAGTCTTTTATTCAAAACATTTTTTTCTTTTTTGTCCATTATAATTTTCTTAAATTCAATCATATTTAATTATTTCCTTTATCTAAGCCATTTCAACTTTTTTATATTACTCATATCAAGAAATAGAATAAAAAGGGGGGGAGCATACTATGTTATTTAAGAGATTCATCCCTCTTAGAATGACATATATATTCAAAATCTTTTCTATTTCTTTAACCATATTCAAAAAAATGTTTCTTTTTTAAGTACTGTCTAATAGGTCCCATCATCTATTTTCTTGATTTCCGCTTTAGTTTTTTTCCTTTGCCCAGTATCTTTCTTAATCAATGTGTTTTGCTGAGTCAAAAATCTTTCCATATGTTCATAACTGTTACTGTAGATATAAAAAGCAAATCAGGTGAAATGTCTTTGTACGAGGCTTTTGCTTTTCCATGTTTATTGAAAATATTTTTCTTTTTCTTTCTCTTCGCTTCCCTTATCATTAATTTTCTCTCCGATGTTCCTAACATCTCTACAGTCCATTTTATCCAATCTGTTTTCTTGTCCTCAGATTTATTTTGTAGTCTTAAGGGATAAGTTGTTTTTTCCATTTCTTGTGGATTTTTTTCCCACTAGGATTAAATTATGTTTCCTCGCTTTGTTAAGTTCCATCTTTAAGTCTTTATTCCCAATTTTGTGCCCACTTATCTGTTTTATCTGCTCCTTCTCTGTTGTTGTTTTTGGGGATGTTTATTGTTGTTGTAGAGTTAACTTGGAAATAGATTGATTTATATTTTCAAATTTATTTTGGATTTCTTTGTGGTTTAAAATCATTGTTATTTGAATTAGTTGCAGTATACTATATATCTCCTTCTGAGGAGTATTTATGTTTTCTTGATATGTTCTTTCTATATGTCTCTGATCCATGATGGCCAAGAATTGGAGTTTTTCTTTTCTCTGCAAATAGCTTTAGAGTCCCAGTTAAATAAATATTTGTAATCCAAAGAGTTCAAAAAAAGATTTTTTTCCCCTGAAGTTTATAGTTCTTTCTTTGCCTGCAGCCCAGATTATTGTCTTTTTTTGTCACAGTTGTTCTTTGTTATTAAAGCTTTGAAGGTCACAAACACGGATTAGCTTTTCCCAGGCTTTGCCAAAATGAACAATTGTCTTTAGAGTGAGAATCTTAACTACTCAACAATTTTAGATTTGTCCAAATTTAAGTTTTAAATTTCAGGTTTTATATTTATTTCACTTCCATACATTTTGATCATCTATGAAAAGTTTAATTTGCCACTTCCATTAGTATAAGGGTGGGGTGGAAATTCCCCTCCCTCACTTTCAGAGGTATTTTGCTTCTTGGGGATCTTTTCCAGGAAATTAGATGTAGAATAGAAAAGAGAAGATCACATTCCTCACCCAGTTTCAAGCACGCTGTTCACTGTTATGCTGGTTAGTACTTTTGGACTTCGGTTGCAAATAGCTTGGGCAGGTCGGTGAAGTATGGCCAACCTTTCTCTGTTGGGTTAGAAGGCTTCCCCCAAGTCAAACAGAATGACCGCCATCATTCCAGAATTGCCGAGGCACCCTTCTTTCTTTGCCACCTCTCTGGACCAACTTAGACCCATTTAGAGTCCCCTGGTAGGGCGAAATTAACCACGGGGGTGCAGAGATCCACAAGCCCGCGACTGGTCGCTACCGCACAAGACTGGAAGTTCCTACTATCATCCTATTCTTAAAGCAGAGTCTAGTTCTGAGCAAGCACAGAATAAGATCCAGTGGAAGACAATATATGTAGCTTAAGGTAGAGCTATGGTGTTCTTGACTTCCCTGAGTTTGCTTGTTTGCTGGCAGATGTCTCTTTTAACAACTAGGTTACATTATCAGTGCTATCATCAGGTACTGATGATGTTATCAAGTTGGGTAATAAAATGTCTGCAAGCAAACAACCAAGCTCAGATAGCAACAAGGACTGCACTGAGTAAGATGCCCTGTAGCAAATCCCTCAGGGTTTAAGGACTTTGTATGGTTCCTTAGTTTCCTTACAGGGAACAAGCACCATTGGACTAGCCAACATGATTTCCATCCTACCTCGAACAATGTTAGCATTCCCATAATTAACAATAACCCTTTTGAAGGTCCAGGAGAAATAGTACTCCTTCAACCAGTCTTTTCATTAGTAGAGTGCCTCCATCAGAGTTAGAGGATTGATAAACCACACAAGCTGGTGGTTATGTAGGAACGGATGAATAACAATACTCACAAACTAGCAGACTTGGTTACCTGATTAAAGGATGATGGCCATATGATGGCATTCTCATTGATGGAGAACTTGATATCTGAAGAGACTTCTTCTTTTCCAATATTTCCAATTTTCACCCCAGCAGCAGACTTATTAGGAAATACTGCCCAGTCAATGATATCAAAGTCAGCAACAGGAATTCCTGCCTCATCCAAATAAGCATCATTCAATGAAAAATTGTAAATCTGGAAGTTTCTTAGAAAAGGATGGAGCTGGAAGGAAATGGAGAACCACACCTAGATTAGTGGATGTTTCCTTCCAGAAGGAAATAAGAATGTATTGATAATTAATTCTTGCTTGAGTTCTAAATCAAAAGTGGATAATCTCAGGTCCCAAACATATTTAACACCAGGAATCTCACAATTTTTCTAGGGTTGTTTCCCCACCACTGCTGTGGATATTTGCAAAAACACCAGTACCCCAATTTTACTTCCCTGAATATCAACTCCACCTTGGCTTTAAATCACTATCCTCAGCCTGGTGCTAATTCTTTAATCTTGTTTAATGGATGTTCCAAGATGTCAGAGCATGCACAGTCTTATTGCACTGAGATAACTCAGGAGTAAACACAATAAACAGTGGTCTGTATTAAATGGTGGTTTATATTACACTATCTACAATATCATACACCAGGAACAATATACATACACATGCTAATACAGCAGATGCCAACACACAGCAGTTACAGCAGGAAACAAAAGAGAGAGCACACATCTGCGGAGCCTTCCCTTTTATACAAGGCTCTTAAAGAGATACAGACCCTGCTTGCTCTTAAAGAGACATAGACCCTGCTGAGTCATTCCCATCATTACATCTTACATCTGACATTACATCAGCTGGTTAGCTTTTAAATCATTACCTTGACAAAAGACACCTGGTGTTTCATCTTTGTTATAGGGCTGCTGCCCTCTCCCTTTGTCCATGTCATCTTCTGGAAGGAAACATGCACTAATCTAGCTGGTGTAAAAAGGAAAATAATGTCCCAAGTCACCCTTGCTGCTTCCCCCTTGCTTTGGGATCTGGGGTGTAAAAGAAGAGCCGCAAGAAGTAGGTTAGAGATGAAAGCTATTTACACAGCCAGATGTGAAAAGCGGATGCTAGCAGACCTGCCTTATTTCTTATGCAATATTGTGATTGAACAAGTTTTCCCCCTTAAAGTTTTCCCCCTTAAATACAAAAAGTCAAGGTGGCGCAGCAGAGTGCAGTACTGCAGGCCACTTTAGCTGACTGTGTTCAGCAGGTCAGCAGTTCAAATCTCACCGGCTCAAGGTTGACTCAGCCTTCCATCCTTCTGGGGTAGGTAAAATGAGGACCCAGATTATTGGGGGCAATGTAAATATATATATATATATATATATATATAATATATATATATATATATATATATATATATATAATATATATATATATTGTTTTCTGAGGTTTTCGCGGGTATTTGTATATAGGTCTTTGGTTGTTCGGGTTTTCTCCCGCGTAAAATTGGAAGTGTCTTGGCAACGTTTCGACGAAGTCACATTCGTCATCTTCAGGCTGGTGTTTTTAGCTTCTTGCTTTGAGCAGCAATGTGTGGTTTTAGCTGTTTCTTCCTTTTAACTGCCAGTGAGGGTATGAACTGATTGGGTGGGAGCTTGGCTGTGTTCTGATTGGGTGGAGGTGTGTTCTGAATGGTTAGGGGCTTGGCTGTGCTCTGATTGGCTGGGGGAGTGTTCTGTTTGGTTGTGCTCAGGTTAGTCTGAGTTGCAGAGGGGTTTAAGATTTTGGGGTTAGGGAGTCGTTTGTCAATAAGGGCAGGTTTCCAAATGGCTGGTAGGCGGGAGGTATCATCTCACTTGTTCATGCTGTGTGGGCGTTTTTCTATCTCGATGGCTTCTCTGATTATTCTGTTATTAAAATGTTCACTTTTGGCAATGGTTCTGGTATTTTTAAAGTCAATTTCATGTCCTGTGGCTTTAAGGTGTTGGACCAGGGAAGATGTTGGTTCCTCTTTTTTGACTGAGTTCTTATGTTCTTCAATGCGTGCACTTATTCTTCTGTTGGTTTGTCCGATGTATGTGGTGGGACAAGTGGTGCATGGGATTTCGTATACTCCTTGATTTTCTAATTCAATTTTATCTTTGGGGTTTCTAAGGATGGTGGATATTTTTCTGTTTGTGCAGAATGCTGTTTTGATGTTGTGTTTATGGAGGATCTTACTGATTCTGTCTGTGGTGCCTTTTATGTATGGGAGGAGGGCTTTGCCGTTTTCTTGTTCTTTGTCTTGGATTTTAGTGGGGGTTTCTTTTTGGATTAGGTTTGTAATCTTATTTCTATGGAATCCATTGGATGTTAGTACATTGGTGAGAGTGTGTAGTTCGGGTTTTAGGTGTTGTTCGTCAGCTAAGCGTTTTGTTCTGGAGATGAGTGTCTTGGCTACAGAGTTGATCTGTGCTGGGTGGTGGTGTGAGAGAGTGTGCAGATAGCGGTTTGTGTGTGTTTTCTTCTGGTAGATGGTGTGTCCTAGGGAGCCATTGGATTTCTTGTAGACTAAGACATCCAGGAAGGGAAGTTGGTTGTTAGCTTCTGTTTCCATGGTGAACTGTATTTTGGGGTGTAGGCTGTTGAGGTGTGTGAGGAAGTTGTCCAGTTTTTCTTTCCCATGTGGCCAGATTATGAAGGTGTCGTCTACATATCTGAGCCAGAGTTTGGGTTTGTGATCCGATTTTTCTAGAGCTTGGGTTTCAAAGTGTTCCATGTAGAGGTTGGCAATGACAGGTGAGAGGGGTGATCCCATGGGTGCTCCTTCTGTTTGTTTGTATTTTTGTCCGTTATAGATGAAGTATGTGTTGGATAGGCAGTGGTTGGTCAGATCTAAGATGTGTTTGGGGGGGTTATATTTGTTTTGAATAGCTGTCAAGGCTTCTTTGATAGGCACTTGGGTGAAGAGGGATATGACATCGAAGCTCACTAGTAGGTCGCTGGGCTGTAAGCTTTGTTTCTTTATGATCTCTATAAACTGGAATGAGTTTTTTACGTGTGAGGTGATGGATTCTGCATAGGGCTGTAGTTGTTTGGCGAGAAATTTGGCTAGGTTTTGTAGAGGTGAGCCTATGGAGCTGACTATAGGTCTGAGTGGGGTTCCTTCTTTGTGTATCTTGGGGAGACCATAGAGTTTAGGGCATCTGGATGATTTCTCTCTAGGAATGATTCTTTGCTGGATCTCTTCGCTAATGGGGGAGGCTTTTATCTTGGTTCTGGTGGTTTTTTCCAGGTAGGTGGTGGGATCTGTATTTAGGGGTTTGTATGTGGAGTCTTGGAGTAGGTTGGTTAATTTGGTTTGGTAGTCAGATGTGTTCATAACCACCGTGGCGTTGCCCTTGTCTGCTGGTAGGATTATTATGCTGGTGTCTTCTTTCAGGTTACGTAGTGCTGTCTGTTCCTCTTTGGGTAAGTTGCTTTTGGGTGGCTTGCTGGTGCAGAGGATGTTGGTGATTTTGAGTCTGATTTTGTTAGCGTCATCGGGGTTGATTTTGGTCAGGCTGGTTTCAACTCCACATATAATGGTTTCAGTGGGGATGTGTTTGGGAGCGACTGCAAAGTTGAATCCTTTGGAAAGGACATTGGTTTCGGCTTTGGTGAGGATCCTATCTGAGATGTTATGCACTGTTTGTTTCATGTGTGGCTGTGAGGGAGGAGGGGTTTGTTTCTGGCGTTCTTGTAGTCTTCGGAGTTTGTTGGTGTGTGTATCTGTCTTGAGGGTGGTCTGTGTTTCGGCTCTCCAGACGGCGAGTTGTTTGGATTTGTCCAAACTCTGCAGCCACCAAACGGATCCTGAAAAGAACAGAATTGGCCCTAATCAGAAATGAACTTCACACAAAAAGATTCCTCCTAGACCGAATTAACAAAGATCTCCTCACACTCCACCTCAAACTCAGCAACAAGATCCACCCCGCACTTTGGGACAAATCCAAACAACTCGCCGTCTGGAGAGCCGAAACACAGACCACCCTCAAGACAGATACACACACCAACAAACTCCGAAGACTACAAGAACGCCAGAAACAAACCCCTCCTCCCTCACAGCCACACATGAAACAAACAGTGCATAACATCTCAGATAGGATCCTCACCAAAGCCGAAACCAATGTCCTTTCCAAAGGATTCAACTTTGCAGTCGCTCCCAAACACATCCCCACTGAAACCATTATATGTGGAGTTGAAACCAGCCTGACCAAAATCAACCCCGATGACGCTAACAAAATCAGACTCAAAATCACCAACATCCTCTGCACCAGCAAGCCACCCAAAAGCAACTTACCCAAAGAGGAACAGACAGCACTACGTAACCTGAAAGAAGACACCAGCATAATAATCCTACCAGCAGACAAGGGCAACGCCACGGTGGTTATGAACACATCTGACTACCAAACCAAATTAACCAACCTACTCCAAGACTCCACATACAAACCCCTAAATACAGATCCCACCACCTACCTGGAAAAAACCACCAGATCCAAAATAAAAGCCTCCCCCATTAGCGAAGAGATCCAGCAAAGAATCATTCCCAGAGAGAAATCATCCAGATGCCCTAAACTCTATGGTCTCCCCAAGATACACAAAGAAGGAACCCCACTCAGACCTATAGTCAGCTCCATAGGCTCACCTCTACAAAACCTAGCCAAATTTCTCGCCAAACAACTACAGCCCTATGCAGAATCCATCACCTCACACGTAAAAAACTCATTCCAGTTTATAGAGATCATAAAGAAACAAAACTTACAGCCCAGCGACCTACTAGTGAGCTTCGATGTCATATCCCTCTTCACCCAAGTGCCTATCAAAGAAGCCTTGACAGCTATTCAAAACAAATATAACCCCCCCAAACACATCTTAGATCTGACCAACCACTGCCTATCCAACACATACTTCATCTATAATGGACAAAAATACAAACAAACAGAAGGAGCACCCATGGGATCACCCCTCTCACCTGTCATTGCCAACCTCTACATGGAACACTTTGAAACCCAAGCTCTAGAAAAATCGGATCACAAACCCAAACTCTGGCTCAGATATGTAGACGACACCTTCATAATCTGGCCACATGGGAAAGAAAAACTGGACAACTTCCTCACACACCTCAACAGCCTACACCCCAAAATACAGTTCACCATGGAAACAGAAGCTAACAACCAACTTCCCTTCCTGGATGTCTTAGTCTACAAGAAATCCAATGGCTCCCTAGGACACACCATCTACCAGAAGAAAACACACACAAACCGCTATCTGCACGCTCTCTCACACCACCACCCAGCACAGATCAACTCTGTAGCCAAGACACTCATCTCCAGAACAAAACGCTTAGCTGACGAACAACACCTAAAACCCGAACTACACACTCTCACCAATGTACTAACATCCAATGGATTCCATAGAAATAAGATTACAAACCTAATCCAAAAAGAAACCCCCACTAAAATCCAAGACAAAGAACAAGAAAACGGCAAAGCCCTCCTCCCATACATAAAAGGCACCACAGACAGAATCAGTAAGATCCTCCATAAACACAACATCAAAACAGCATTCTGCACAAACAGAAAAATATCCACCATCCTTAGAAACCCCAAAGATAAAATTGAATTAGAAAATCAAGGAGTATACGAAATCCCATGCACCACTTGTCCCACCACATACATCGGACAAACCAACAGAAGAATAAGTGCACGCATTGAAGAACATAAGAACTCAGTCAAAAAAGAGGAACCAACATCTTCCCTGGTCCAACACCTTAAAGCCACAGGACATGAAATTGACTTTAAAAATACCAGAACCATTGCCAAAAGTGAACATTTTAATAACAGAATAATCAGAGAAGCCATCGAGATAGAAAAACGCCCACACAGCATGAACAAGCGAGATGATACCTCCCGCCTACCAGCCATTTGGA